GACTTAACATACAGTTGTTGACTCGCGTGTCTAGTGGCGTTAAATACGATTCTATATTTCCTTAATTTCTAGTTAGTACGTAATGTTTTTTTGCAAATAGATATTCAAATAAAGGGAACTGAAAAAATGTGGCTGTTGATTTTTGGTAAATGAATATTGTGCCGTGACGCTGATCCGAGACAACTGTTAACAGATTACTTGACAGTTTTGAATAGATTATCATATCACATGAACAAGATTATCATACTATTAATTGATCGGGGCATTTCTCGAATAAACTTTTGTCTCCTGGCACAAATGTTTTGTCCAGTTCAGGTCTTTAAGAGTAACATAGTGGTTTTAAGTTTAAAAGAGCAACGGGGCCTAGGCTGTTCTGGGGCTGTTAAACGCTGCTTATATAGCTTTTGTATTTCCGATCTTTTTCTGGCTTAACTGATTTCCAAACGTAAACTTAGGCAAATACCGGCACTAAAACTGCTGTTACAAGCCGGCAAATTCAAATAAACTCCCTAATGGCCAAGCTATTTAAAGTATTCTAATTAGTTGTTCTAAGGAACACACTTCCAAACTTAAACTAGGTCGAAAATTTTAATGATTCTTACGGCATTAGTCTTGTTGTGGTAATTTTTTGAAGCGACAGCCGCCCAACAAACATCAGAGAAGTTCTTAACTCAAGTTTTTTCCTTTTTTTTTTCATTTCTCCTTTAATGGTAATCAACTGATTGTGATAATGGCGTCAATACGATAACGTGGAAACATATCTACACTGACATTAGCTGGTGAAAACGTAACCAGAAGTTTCATCAATTATAGTATTGTAGTAATGCTGTCGTGCTCATTCTGATGTTGGAATCTCCTGACGTGAAAACATTTGTATTTTACAAGCGAGAGCAGTACTACATATGAAGCTTTTCAAATTGCCATTTCGGCTTTATTTATTTTGGCATTCTTAAATCTCTTACATAACGCAAATAGGAAACCAAATCCGTAAAAATAACAGAAAATTTAAGTAGATACGCCCTTTTGATAACAACTGTCTTGGCTAAAGGTGACTGTCAAGGATGGTTGATTTCAATTCAGTATTTAAAAAAATAGATGAAATACAGCCTGTCACAGAATTACAATAAGTATGGTTTAATTGCTGCCCAATTTTTTTTATGGTTATTCATTACCTATGGATGGCGGTTCAGAGCATACGTGGCATATTCAAATGAAGTGAAAACAAATTTGGTTAATGAGCTATATTTCCCTCTGTATTGTTCATAGCACAAAAGCTGGTAGAACCGCGTAAATATCAGGAACAAAATAGTTCAAAGAGAGCAGGATAAAAAATTCCAACTGGCCGGAGGTAGGCTGGCCTTTTTAGTAATTGTAGACTAGGAGATGAAATCGAAACTAGCGTGAATAAACTCTTACTAGCATTTGGCCAGGGGATTGCAAGATACTAAACACTTGGCCAAGCTACCTTGATCGTTTTGTAAACGATAGCACTTAAATTTTGAAGATAAGAAAGCAGCTGCTTAATAAATTACCTTCTCACCGCCTAAAAGGACTTGAGACAACATTGACAAGAACTGCCTAGGGTATTCTGAGAGCATCTGTTATAATTAACATTTTCAGTTCATTGGAAAATATGCATTATTATTTACAGCTCGACGATCACATAACAAAGTAAGATTGAAGCTAATTCGAGCTGGTTGTTTCGCAGTTACTATTCAATAATCTTAAACTATTTTTTCGTAGTCGGCCGGCCGAAACTCATTACTGTAGCAGCGTAACACCGTTAATGTTGCCAAACGTGTCTTCATTAGAAACGATAAAAAATGTTTTCCAGTGTAATTCTCTCTAATCTCTCGTCTTAGTTTTCAGTTAGTATAAAGCTTTTGCTAGGGTTTGTTGCTTGGTGGCTCTCCCTTTGCTCCGACAACTTCTCAAGTTGTTGTAACAAATTAGTGTTGCTAAACGTGTCCTCGTTAAAAATGATAAAAAAATTAATGTTTTCAGTGTGATGCTGAATTTCCCTCTGTTTTCTCGTCTATCTTTTCAGTTGGTATAAAACATTTGGTTGGTTTTGTTGATTTAATTTCGTTTAAGGTAGCGCTCCCGTGTGCTCCGAACTTGGAAAACTTACCGAGTTGCAAAAGGAGTGAGAGGCAGGGAACTGATTCACAAATTAAAGTTTGAAGTTCAAAAACGAGTACCTCCTTTGCTATATTGGTAGGGTTACAGGTGACTCGACTTGAGAAAGGACTGAATATATACTGAACAATTGAGGGATAGTGAAGAGAAAAACGTATTTCTTAATTTATATTCACGTTAAAATGATTTTATTTAACCTGTAAAATTTATAGTAGACTACTGCCTAGTAATTCTCTAGTTTCATTGTTTTCTTTTGCGTACGTGTGGCTGCTTGGAACTTATAGTTACTGTTTCATTGGTTAAGTTAGATCACTCTGAAGAAGAACATCATGGCGAAAATAGAGGATATTACATGGTCGCGCGGAGATACGAAATTTCTCTTCGAGTGTTGAAAAATATTTCACTCGTTCGCTGCGTTCACTCGTGAAGTATTTTTTCAACACTCAAAGAGTGTATATATAAACACCAGTGTTATATAAACACCAGTGAACTACCAAACCATTTCACTTTAATAGCTTTTTGGTGTGAAAGGCGCGATCTATTATGTAGCCATAGCAACAGTGATATTTTCACATGTGAAGATAACATGTTATTTTCACACGTGAAGATTTTAAGTTTTCGCGCGAAAGCTCACCTGGTATTTCATTAGTGTTTATATAATAAAATGTTATACTTCAGATATTTCTGAGTTTTTCAATTTCTCCGGGACTTCATACGATCTAAAAATATCCTAGGTCGGAGTCCTTGGCAAATTATTTTGAAAATCAGAATGCCTTAGTAACCCGGCTATTTTTATGGTATTTAGGCCAGGCTTAGACGGCGAACATTTCATTTACTTTATTCAATGTATTAGGTTCGGCTCATGAAAAGTTCGGCGTCCGAACCGGACCTTAATAGTGTTGCAAGGAAAAAGTTAACCTAAACTGCTAACAGTAACGGTGTTAGTCAGGGCCCGCGGAAGGAGTGGGGCCAGGAAGGCCTTGGGCCCACTTTTTGGCCTCCCCCAAAAAAAGGAAAGAAAAAGTTCGTTTACAAAGTTCTTAACAAGATTTTGTTTGATACTAGACTAATTAAGGATCTAGTTTTCACTCCCGTCCACAACAGGGAATAATAGAGACACAGTTAAGATTGTACTTGAAAGATGCCGAAAAGTTATCGTAAGTGACGCGATAGAAGTGTCTTTTTCGTGCTGTTTGTTCAGCGCTTTTAATTTAGTTCTGTAAACTGTCCGCGATTTCATGGGTATTTTTTTCGTGAGAGAGAGTTACCAAAAAGATACAGCTGAGGCAATTAAAGTTTTTATTACTTGCACGTCACCCTATAGAACTACTGCATAAAGACTGGAAAATGCCATAAAATTGCGGCTAAAATGGCCGCTTAAAATTGGACGAAAGCGCCAAAGAAGAGTCCGTGTAACGGAGTCAGGATACATTTGAAAGGGCTTAGAGAAGCCCTCGTATCGCCCCTCCACGCTTCCCTAGGCACTTGAATCCAGCGGCTCCCCCTACCCCAACCACCACCACCACCACCACCACTTGAAAAACTGCTGTGCGTGCCCTGTTAGTTTGCGGTTTTGAGGTTTGTTTGCGTGAGCTGAACTTTATTGTGTTTGTTCACCACATAATCACGTTCCTGAAATAGTTGAGGTGTTCATAGTTTTTTGGGTTGTATTTTAGGGAGTTTAAGCAACCAGGGGCCTGTTTCTCGAAAGGTCCGATATATTTTCGGGTCCAAAGGCAAATTTTGAACTCAAAACCAGTTGGCTAATAGCAAAGTTTCTAGCTCACAAAATGGCCAATTTTGCTTCGTTAACTGATAGTTTCATTGTATCATTTTCAAAATTATTGAAACTTCAATCTTGAATGCAAACACGGTAAACATAAAACAGCTTTTCGGACCCAAAAGGTTATCGGGACTTTCGAGAAACGGCCCCCAGAATGGCGACGGCAACGGGGAGGTCATTTACAAAGTGCATTCGCGTTCTTGTAAAATTTATGGCGGTCATTTCAACTGGTTCGATTGGTCAAAGGTAAAAGGCGTGTTTTTCTGGGGTTTAATTTTTAGGGAGCACATCAAAGTTGTCGTCGAGTGTTTACGTCCTCTATAATACGTCACACTGGAAGTTTCACGTTGTACTCGTGCAATGACAGGGGAGAAATGTATATAAAAAAGCATGAATGCACGTGCATATGTTGCTGTTTTTTTACGTTCCCGTTGCCGTCGCCGTCGTGCAAAAAGGTGAAGGCCCTACAGCCCGAGTTTCACCCGGTGGCATGACGCTTATAGGGGTATTGCTGCTCCTCCCTGGATGGTATGCTAGTCTATCTCAGGGTTTCCCCCTGCAGTATGTTGCCGATGCCCATTTATACACCCGGGTGAAGAGAGACCAAGTTTAATAACATTTCTCGTCTAAGGAAACAAATCGACCGCGAGGCTTCGGACCCACAGAAAGGAGTCTTTCCGGCTCCACCCTTGTTCTCGTTTCTGTAGTAGTATAGTAGTCGCAGTGTGGCATGAAGCACGTGGGGGTATTGCTACTCCCCCGTGGATGGGTTGCTAGTCATCGCACGGTTACACCCAAAGTATCTCTCCGGTACCCATTTATACACCTCGGTGCTAAGACACAAAGTGGTAAAACGACGATTTTTTTTTAAATACCGAAACCGTGCAAAGCAACGGAAAGATTCGAGTGATTAGCGGGGTGGCCACCACGGCTCGACGAGTTTGACATTGATAACTGTAGTTTTTGGATCCTTTTTATGGAAAAGGTGGGGTGTTAACAAAATTGTTTGAAAGGGAACATTTAGGATTTTACTGGTTAAGAATTAACAGTTAGATGAGTATTACTAATATCTAGACAAGGACAAGATAGTATGCTACCACACCAAGGTACCTCTGAACCCCATTAGCAGACTAACTGGTTTATTTATATCTGCTTCGCTACCTCTTTTCTTTCATTCTTGTAAAACACTTACAAGTGCTTCTCCATAATTCTATGGAGTTAACATAGGCTAACCTTCCGAAAGAGACAACAATCTTGACAATTTACTTCTTTCAAAATCCAGTTGTTACAGATGATAGACGATTAAGGCAGTAAGCTGACGAGAGCCTAAAGGAAGTTCCTTGAACGGAGATCGGAAACAGCTGTTGAAGGATAGGATGAATGTGACACCGGAAGTACTTGAGCGCTTGAAGCAACTGGCTAATTTGGTCTCCAAAAAAGGAAATTCTCAAAAGAATGTGAACGACAACAAGAAAGAACCGGATCAAAAAGGTAATGAAGATGACAAAGAGAACGATACATCTGGAAGTGGAAAAATATCAGGTAATGATCAGTCACCACAAAGACAAAACAACGTCCAACAGCGAAAGAAAAAAAGGAACCCGGGAGAAAGAGTAACAAAGGAGCGTTCGAGCGCGCAGCGCAGCGGCGCCCTATAGCTGAAGGAAATTGGAAACCTATGGATCCGAGAAACTTAAAACTTTTTTCAAAAAGCCAAATTCGGGCTCCAAAAGCCGACGAGTCTGTCGATAGAAGAAAGGAGCACTTTTTCATATTTTACATTTTACATACATTTTTCAGCGAGGATAGAAGGTGTAAACAAACGCATCAAACTTCATTCAAGCAGTCTTCAGGGATCGTGTTATGGGGAAAAAGTAGCACTCTGAAAAATTCTTGAACGGCAAGTAATGAATAAGAAAATGAATAACCATGGAACAATGGAGACAACAACACTTCACTTTCACGCCGATGTCAAAATGTTCAAAACTTCTATGAAACCTTCATAAAAACAAAAAGTCCCTTTTTAAAACGTGCTTTCCTCGACCATAGAGCACAGAATGAACCCGAAGTTTCTTCAAAAAACTTCGCTGCCTTGATTGGTTAAAAACAGGCCAAGCGCTTCGCCCTGAAGAAAACAAGGTTGAATTCCTCGAAGGACAATTTCGTAACGAAAACCTTTCCCTTGTCCACAAAAAGGAATCTCAACATTCATTTCAACTTTCCCTTCCATTTGCGTCTTTATTGGCGTATTTTCAACCTTGAAATGCAAAACTTTGATCTTGAAAACCACCCCACATGAAAGTGTGTGACCTTCGCTAAAGTGTCAAATCCGTTTCATCTCCTACCCCCTAAAAACCACCAAACGTATGCTCACTAGAGAAGATTCTGATTGGTCAATCATTTCTAAAGCCTTTTGAAACAACAGGGGACAAAACTCTCTAAGGGAGGAGGGGGTAGGAATTAAACTTAGTTCCTCCCTGGATGAATGTACGAACGTACGTACGGTGACGTCATAACCAAATTATCTCGCATCGATAGGTTTCCAATTTCTATAGCAATGGAGCAAGGCTCTTAGGAAATTAAATTCGCTCGTTTGGTGACCTTTTCTCTCACTTCATAAAGCTTCAGAGCTGAACAACAGTGTGTGTTGGACGTTGTTCGTAGGTAGTTAACCAACTCGTTAGAAAGGCTTAAAAAGAGACCAGTGGTAAGGTAATTCATCAGGTCTCTCTATTTTTGTTTTAGTTACGAATGGCAGAGTATCACCAGACTTGAATGGGACAAATGAAGATGCACCGACGCCTGATAACAAGCAAGTCAAAGGCGATGGTGTATTCAGTGAGATGGATACGGATGTATTTCGTCAGGTTCGATCGATCTCAACATTGTTTCATTTCTGCGCACCTTTAAAAGCCTTTTCACTCACTTGGCCAGCAGTTATGCAAATTTATTGGAACAAAAGAAAGTTTTTACGTATTAAGAAAAAGGTTCAATTCCCAGGACTGGTTCGGGACAGCATCATGGCCGCCATTACACTGTTTTGGGACACAAATATGGTGGAGATAACATCATGTGAAAACGCCCTGTATGAATGTCCTAATAGCTTTGGAACATTTTCCATTTCTCATAGAGTAGAGAGAAAGGTGGATTTTGTATTTAACTCGTTAAGTTTCTTCAAAACCAATTCACTGGACGCTGACTTTTTTTTGCCAAAAAAGAGGGAAAAAGCACATCCTTGACACCTTCATTTCTTTTTCCTCTCACACAGGTACTTAAAGACGTGATTACAAAAAGGACGCTTGCCATAGAAAAAAGGGTACTGGCTGATGTGGAAGCGCTGAAAACGCAGGTCTGTGAATTGGAAGCTCAGAAAATACAACTTCAGTGTGACTCGGAGAGACTAAAGCAAACTTTAAAAGAGATAACTACAAAACAAGAAAAGGTAAGGCGGCTTAAACTCATATCTGTAAGCTTACTTTAGGCCCTTTAAATCAGTTTCCTGTATTTGATCAGCTACAATTCTTTCAGCACAGAGAAAAGGACGCTTGCCTTATGGCATCGAAAATATCCCAATTCACAATCTGACAATGTTGAATTATTTGATAGAAACTAAAACAAGTTTATAAGGTAAGACAACAACAGCAACAGTCAAACCTCCATTTAGCAGCCGTTTACCAAGTCCTGTCGGACAAAAATGTCAGTATATAACTAGAAACAGAACTTTTATTATAAAGGGGCCACTCCTTTCTTCCCCGAGAGTGGTCTAGCTTACAATATGAATTGCTCTTACGGTCTGTACGTACTGCTTATCAATCCACCACTTTCACCGAGACCATAATGTACCTTGCTTATCCCCCAAATTTTGCATAACCATTTCCAATCTCTTCTGCTTGATATAACAGTCGTCCCTTAACGTTGATGGAGGTAAGTATGTTTTTAAAGTATGAATTATTTTGAATAAGCAATAAATCAATTATTGGATTCGGCTTTCGTATGGGCTAAAACGTATGCAGATTTCGGAAGGTATTATCCTGCTTGGCCTATAACACCCTCCTCGATCTCCATAATTCTTCGGACCATACACAGCCTCATCCAATAATTATGAAATATTGACTTGATTATCGTGACGTTTAATGATTAACGATTTTATTGATTTTAACATGGATCACATTTGTGTACTTTTTTTCTTGACAGCAAAAAGTTCAGATGGTGTCTTGTGGAACTCAAGTCGACATGGAATTGGTACATGTATTCTCATGTTCTTTCTACTGGGGATATATGAGTCATTTCTTTTGGATCTGCTAGTACCCTTTTAGATGATAATTATTATTGACTTTCTGAACAGGGCAATGTCTTATATGTTTCCTATAGGCGAATCCTTGTTTACATTTTTTGCACCATTAACACAAGCTTATCATTATATGATGAAGTTAACAAAATGTAATTTCTGACCATTGAAAGAGCATAACAATTTCAGTTATCTCTGAGCCCTGTATACCAAATAGTTTCGGAGAGATTCTTTTGGAAAAAACCCCAAATTTACAAAGAATGTATGCGCTCATTAACGTTTTCCCACCCAGTAATTTTGCCGTTTTTAATTGCTGCTATTTTCTTTGCTACTGATCGCAAAGAGCTGAAACTTGCACAAACTGCATTACTTAACCAGCTCTTAATTTTTGAACCTCATTGACAGATACGGCTACATCTTCCATGGGTTGACTCAATGAGCAAAATGTAAACAATGACGTCACGATGAATCCGCCTACTAGAGCTGCAAACTTTGCAGCTCTAATAGGCGCAGGGCCTGCGCCACCAATTACTTTGCTATGGAGCGGTTTTCACTTGACTGTCGAAAGGGATTGGTTTTGGTTTTGGTTTTGGTTTTGGATTTACTACGCCCTTTGGTTGGCTAGTATATTTACTTTGGTTTTGGTTTTACGACAGTCAAGTGAAAACCGCTCTAACCAAATCACGTATTCAATTTTGTAACCCCGGTTAAAGGGGCCGTGTCACGGCTGTCAAGTTCATTTTGTAAATAATGCTACTTATTCGTCCTTATTTGCTATGGAACTGGAGAAATTACTTGTCAATGACAAAATCAGAGCTTCGTGTCAAACAAATATGTCTTTCAAACATTAAAATCAGACATTTACACACTACAAAAATGAAACATTAAAAAACTGTTAGGCTAACAAGTTTTCAAAAACCACAATTGCAATCCTTTTCAGTCTTCTCCAAGTTTGTCCATCCTTGCCTCTTTTTGTATTTGCTGTGTTATTAATGCCTTCTTTTAATGCTTTGAGCAGTTATTTAATGATCCACTCAGTTTGGTGACAGTTCCCACTGACCGAATTTTGATAAATTTCATGACACAGCTCCTTTAATTTATAGTCTTTTGTGTGCACTATTCAAAACTAAACCTAAGATTCTCTTCTCGAATTTCACAGATAAGAAACATTTTCTTCCACGCAGCCACGATTGACATATCGTTTGCTAAACTTAGTTATTTGAACATTTTACTTGATTTCACGGTTAAGTCTAACTAACAACTGTAATCCATTGTCACAGACAGTAACTGAAAAAATTCTCTATCCAAAACGTGTGTCAAGTCAATGTTATTATTCCAGAGGAAGGGATGGCCGAAGAGTAGCTTAATCGCGTCTAGTGAGACATAAAGTTATCGAAAAGCTACTCTTAAATGTGAGCCAAAATAATGTTATGATTATTTTGTTATGAAGTCAGCCTTCAAATAATATACACCTCATTTAACTTTTGAGGGGGGGGGGGGGGGGGGGTTGGGTTATTTCTATTTTCGAACTGTCAAATTCATATTAGGCTTCGAGGCTGAGGGAATAAAACAAAAGAAATGAATTATTCATCTCGGAATCTCACTCTCAATTCTTTTTTTATATACCTCTCAGCTTCATATCCATGTACGAATTTTGATAATTCGATTCGAAACTGGCCTATTTCAAGCTTTGCTTCCAAGCTAGCTGCTAAAATATTAGATTAAAAATTATCTTTCATACTATAAATTTGCAAATAGTGTCATTTTTGGGGAAGGAAGGGTTACGAATTTAGCCTTACATTGTGATGACGTATTTTCTGAGTCTTTATGCATTTTGTTTCCCTTTAAGATAGAGGAAAGGCCACTTTCACCTGAGATTTCCAAACCAGTGAGGCCAAAATTTGTTCCTGAAAGGTCCATTCTTCTCAATCAGATGCGGAGTGCAAAAAATATACTGGAAAACCAAGGGGAGACAGTTGATAACGAAAAAGTGGTTGCTGAAAGCAGCGATAAGCAAAAGGTTTTTCTACAGACATCAGAAAAGAACGCTAAGCATTCAGGGACAACTGAATCGATGACTGTTTGCAGTAACTCTGGGATGAGTACAGCACAGAATGTTCCAGCTACTGCTCAAAATGTTACAAATGTATTGCCCGACAAAGATGTGTCCGTTGGGGTCTTAATTCAACCGCCATCTCAAGGACGAAAAATAACCACAGAAAGTGTGGTTACTCGAGATCCGCACGATAAACTGCTTTTGCGAAATATTCATAGTAGTGACAACACACAAACTCCGTTAAACTTTCGTCCGCTTTCTGTGGTGCGCGTTGAGGCACACCATGTTGGGCAAGAACAACAAAATAATCATCGGCAATCACCACGACTTGACATGCCCCAACAAAAACGTGGCCCGCCAGGTCTAAATACTTCAGTGCCATCAGGGTATCCATGCATACAAAATTATCAAGGACATTTTTCACAGAGGTCAAGCGAATCGTTTCTTCCCAACCGACAGCAATTTTCTTCATGTCGATGGCTAGGTTCATCACCAAATCAGGCCAATCAAAATGGCCATGTTCATCGTCAACCACATCCTTCGGTGTATAACAGGCCAACGGATTTAACTAATCACAGATCTAATGCTACTCCTCCTGGTGGTCCTCATAACGTAACATTTTTTGATCAACCAAAAAGACGACGGGTTGAAAATATGTCTTCTTCGAATGTTCAGCGCACGAATATTGTCAGTAGTAACGAAAATTATGTTATGGAACACTTTAAGGTTCAGAGAACCCCTGTGAGTCCGGGAGCTGCACGCAGTCAAAAGTACATGCAAACGTATGGACCTGTAACAACAAATCAAGCACCTTACATCAGTAGGCCATTAAATCACCCGCCCGGCACACATTTCAATCAGGGGGTTCCAAATAGTCGACCGCCTCCTAATGCCTCTCTCCATGCGATGAATAAGGCTGCAAATCGCCCACCAGCGGGATTTTCGCAAGGTCAGCTAGTTGAAAAGGTGCTTTACCCTACAGCTGGATCACAACCCGTCGGCAACGCATATCAGGACTACCAAAGAGTTATGTTACCTGGTCCACATCCTCGCACTGAAAACGTACAAGCCTCTAATAAGTCTTCTCAGTCGAATAACACGGTGTACGTCGTACAGGAATACCAGGTGCTTAGCCAATACAATGTAAGCTAAGCTTTAAACCTCCCCACAGTCGCTGTTAGGAACAAAAAATGAAATTTTACCTGTCAATCGTGAGACATTATAGAAGTTTTGGTACGAGATGTCCGTTGATCACATCATGAAGGTTTCATCCACAAAATCAAAAGTTTGAGCCACACTACAATAGTCATCCTTTCACTCCTACAGTGAATGATCGAGTCTTGCAAGGTTGTTCTGGCTTTTGAGTCTGTGGAAAAAATCCCATGGTGTGACCATTCAAACGAAACCCTTTTGACAGCACTTTCATATGGTTTTACAAAGCGACATAGGGAGATCGTTTTGAGATTTAACTTTAGCCAATATTGGCAGTGCAGGGGTTAAGGGTATTCTGTTAATGAATGGGTTAATAAACTCAAACATCTTATTGTTGCTGCGAGCAATGAGCAAAATGTCCTCGTTTGTTGTCTAAAAATTTCACCACTAGGATATACGAACGTTGGCTACCATATTCAAATTAATTAAATTTAATGAACAACATTTACTTATATCTTTAAGACTATCCTGTTAATTTCATGTCCCTCATCCTTAGATGTCACGATCCAGGACTACACCACTTCAATCAATCGCCCCAGCGCCAGCTCCTGTTCCACGAAACCCAACGTACCCACCAGTACAGTCCCCTGGAATATCATCCACTGCTTCACCTTCCGCTTGTCATCTGGGAGGGCCAAATGCTGGACAAGTTTCTCCTGCTGTTTCTCACCCGTCAAATGCTAATGCGGTCAGAACCAGCATCACACAGACGTTGTTAAAAACACCTCCAAAACCTACCGCGTCCATCGTAGTAGTTCAGGATGGTATTGTCCTCTCGTGGAACATGAAACTTGACGACTCAACAGCCAAAATCGATAATTATGAATTATTTGCTTGCCAGGATGGCGCCGAAAGCACAAATCCGCCGATTATGTGGAAGAAGATTGGTATTGTTAAAGCCCTGCCTCTTCCCATGGCGTGCACGTTAACTCAGTTCTCTTCAGGAAATAAGTATCATTTCGCCGTTCGCGCGGTGGATGATCAAGAACGAGCAGGACCCTTCAGTGATCCTTGTACTATTGCTTTGACGAATTAGAGTGTGTCCTAACCAGCATTTCAGAACGGTTTCATATGGGTTTTACGTTGCACCATCACGTATTTTGCATCAGAAGTAGACAAATTCTTGAACCGTGGAGATTTAAGGAGCCAGGTTTGATCCTTTGCTACATAATCGCCTTCTTTTTCAGCAAAGGATCTTTCTTTGCACTCTATCTCCACTTAGTCGAAAAAATGGGTATGGACGACATTTTGTTGGCCAACCATGTGACGAATTAGCTTCCTGACAAGACGGAGGGGGGAGAGTTTTGGAGAGTTTGAGAGTGCTTCAGGCCACTGAAACCGGGGTAATCATTATAGGCCTAATAGAGTTCTAAAGTGTTGAGGTCATGAAAATTAAATTTGTGAAATTATGAGATTTGTCAGGATATTTTGAAAGAACAATGTCCAAGACGCCTACTTGCTAAGAATCAGTATTTCGGGGCAAATTGTCCCTGAGTTATTAGCCCACTTATACTCTAATGACTCCATACAAATCCTTCTAAATTTGACTTGGGTCTAAACGTTTAGACCCAAGTCAAATTTAGAAGGATTTGTAGGGAGTCATCAGAACATAACTGGACCCATTTCTCAGAGACAATTTGCCCCACAATGTAAGTTTTTGGTAAGCAGGCCTCTTGGATGTTGTTTTTTCAGAATATCCTGACAAATCCCATAATTCTGTGAAAGTTTGTTTGCCGAAGCCAAGAAAGTGTTACTTAACATTTTTTCGGTAAACAAAAGAAACAAAAGAAATTCAGTTGATCGCCAGAGTATTCAAAAGAACAGACACTTTACGTAGCAATGCATGAAAAATAACCCTAGTAATGAGGCCGTTGGGTTGCATCAGTCCTTGGGATGCGGATGTGGTGGTGCCATCCACTTTTTTAGTTCATTAGATTATCTTCCTTGATTTTACTAATCAGAACAGACTCTGTGATTTGTCTTACTGTGGCGATCCACTGAAGAGGTCGTTAGACGAAACTAGTTCTGTGTATCGCCATATAAACTTAATAGTGTGTTGAAAGTGGAAACAAATTAGTTTTTTTTTCTTTTGTTTACTGAAATAATCCCGTAATTTTACAACTTTAATTTTTTATGACGTCACACTTTAGAACTCTTTTGGCTCCGCCTTTACTTTAGTCAGAACTTGGGCTAAATAGATTTAGTAGGCGTCTAGAGCAGAAAATCGCCTGAGAGCAAGGTACGATTTGCATGAGTTATCCCTCTCATCGTTTTCTCGACAACAGTAATGATATATTCTATGTATGCTGATATGCCATCTCTTTAAACTTCACGTTCTGATTAAAAGGTAGAGACGATCTGCGAGCGAATGAAAGAGTGGCGTGCTTTTTTCCACACAGGCTTAGGAAGAATGACAATTCCAAGCCTAGTTATGGTCGAGGTTGCTTCTATTTGCAAGGCTTGATGAATAAATTTTTCTCCTTGCATATAAAGCCCCATATACAAGTTATGTAAAACAAACCCAATCCGTCTAGTTTCTGCCCATTATTAGATAGATCACAGATGACCTTGTTATTACTGCAAAAGACCATGGCACAGTCTTGAATGTGAGACTGAGTTCACATTGTAAAAATCAAAAGAATCAGAAGGTAATATCATTTGTCATCAGTGGTCGCACGATAATTTTATAATTTTGTCATCAGCTGGAACTGCATCTTATTATTTTGCAATTACCTTCTCTTTACTCAAGGTTTACAAAACAGTTTTCATATTTCGTCTCAAAGCTGTAATTTGTCATAAAAGAAAAAAAAGGAATCATAAAAAAACATAAATGTCATTCGTCCACAATTTTCAAGAACCACTGAACAAGACAAATATAAATGATATACATGTTAACCAAATCTCTCTTTACCAGTCCATGGGCAATTTGCAGCTAAACAGTGACATGGTACAACAAAACCTCGCTGAAGAGCAAATAAAACTTTGGGATCTTGAAAGAAATACTCTCCAGCAAGGTGTTTTCGTGCCACGCGCCTCTCTAGCTGCAAAGGGCTCATTGAATGGCAGATTAGTGATGGTCACATGATCGGAAACGACCAGGAGACCCACGATTAAAATATTCTTACCAATAAATCCGGAGTCTGAGGCACATATTTTCATTAAATTAAAATCATTATTTTTGAAAACGAACCGTGCTTATTTTGGTATTTATCTTTGAAAATGTAAATAATTGTAGAGAAAGAATGTGGTATTTATGATTTGCCAGATGATACTATTATAGCAACAAATAAATGTATAGTAATTAAGTGTGGAGCCTCTTCTTTAATTCAATTCACAGGCGGTTTGGCACATTTGCCGACGTGGTGTCAGTGAATTATTCGAAAAAGTCAATAGGCCACGTGCACTAAGAGGTCACGTGACCAGTTCTTCCTTTTAAATAATGGGTCGGAATCTTTCTGATGCCAAAAATTGACGGAGCGCATAAAAATTATCTTACGCTCGAAATTTGAGAGGAAACGAATTTAAGGAAGATATTTTATGGCACTTTGATTTTTCAACAAAGTAATATGATTTGTATTGGCCGCTATGTTGGAGGGCATACTCTTGCCCTCCAACATTGCAGCCAAAACTGCTTTTTGCTTTTATCTTGTTAAACGTTAGATAGTTATGCTCAGATGTGCTGAAAACGTTACCTCAGCATCTTTTCAACAATTTCCTTGAAGTTTAAGTGCAAAATTTCTGTTCCCAAAGAGGTAATTCATAGTTTTAAAAATCACATTTTGGTCACGTGACCAGCTACGAACTGACTCATTTTAAGAAAATGGAGCGGGTTTAAAAAACTAAATCACTATTATTTTGTGTAAGGTATGACCCACTAGTCGTTTTTTGAAGGCAAAATCATATAACTTTCATTTTCATAAAAATGATGTCTTTTTTTCAGATTTTAAACCTTCAACAGTGTTGTAATAGTAGTAGTAGTAGTATTAGTAATAGTAGTAGTAACGGTAGTGGTAGTGGTAGTGGTGGTGATAGTGATAGTGATAGTGATAGTGATAGTGGTAGTGGTAGTGGTGGTGGCGGTAGTGGTAGTGATAGTGGTGGTGGTGGTGGTGGTGGTGGTGGTAGTAGTAGTAGTAGTAGTAATAGTGGTAATGGTAGTGGTGGTAGTGGTGGTGGTGGTAGTGGTAATGATAGTGGTGGTGGTGGTGGTAGTAGTAGTAGTGGTCGTGGTGGTGGACTTTAGCAGTCTATTAACGTGTCAAGAATCTCTATCGCAACAAGGAGCAGTAATTGGTGAATAACTGAGAGAAAATACTAAATATCAATGGAAAAAGTCACTGGACCACACGGCTTATGATTTAGCCATAATATTCAATTATGGCCTTACAATTCTCTTTTGCAGTTATTCCAATACCCATAAAATCTTTGTCTTCTGATTCAATTATGTACCTCAAAATTGGCTTTTTAGCTAATTTTGCTCATGCCTTTTCTATCTCTGGTACTGTTAAGTGGCATCCCGATATTTCTCATTCTATAGGTCACGTGACTAATAGCTTCAAAGAACCTATTGTGAGAATGTTTGTAAACAGAACAAATTTCGCGGGACAAGACGTCTTGTCGAATACGCTATGAATCCGAGCAGCCGATGCACTCATCGAGGTTTTGAGGGTCTACTAGGACCATTACTGTGCAAATACGTACACTCTCGGCCGCTAAGAAGTCCTCAGCCTGAATTTTACTTGTAAATGAATTTAAACTTTTTTCCTTGTAAGGTATAATTGACCGAGGCCTATTGCAAACAGCTTGGAAGGTTTCGGTTAAAAAAGTTGCGGATCAGGGAGATCAGGTATTTATTATCAATACCGCATTTAAATCTTTGGAGATCAGACGCTTTTCATTCCAAATGTTACGATGCAGATTTCGCATTTATGGCCCACATTTAGCTTTCATAAGCAATTAAGTTAGTAGCCAGCAAATTAAAGAAAGATAGATCTTTTTTCAGGTACCTTTTTTGGAAATTCTGACAAATTTTGCCAGAGTTACACTCAAAATACTCTATTCTACAGGGGAACCTCAATCTGCCGAAAGGCTTAAGACACTGGCAATGTGCGTTCGCTATAACGATGTTTGGTTATATATATCATGGTTCTTTTCCATATATTTCAGTTTTCAATGGGGCGAACACTATCGTTCGTTCTACTGAGGACTGCCAACATTTGAGGTTTGTTATATCAAGATTCCATTATTAACGTTTTAGGGAAACATTCTCTGCCAATTTTCCAAATTTAGAAGTTAGACAACCACAATTCCATAGGAAATAAATACGATAAAAGGGGGAAAGCGCTGGTTATAAAAAAGAAAGGCAAGGAAAACAAAGTGGGCAAAAAGAGAGATTGAAAACGATTTGCAAAAGAAAAATGGCTTGCGCGCATGCACGAAAGTTTGAATACATCCGATTAGCAGGAAAATACGCCTTTAGTGTTTCAAATCTCATTTATAGACATTTTCATGTCAGTTGATGGGAAACTGGACCATAACGGAGGATTTGTTTAAAAATGATCCTTTTTTTCGCTACAAGCCGTCGAGGAGGGTTTAATTATAACACGATTTTCCTATTCCTTTGGTTATCATTTTTAAACGCAAAGTCTGAAGTTCAAGGACCGACAAAATTAGGCCATGAAATGTCAATGTGATCTCGGAGACTACTCATTAGTAACTAGCCCTCAAAAAGGCAGGCGTCTGCTGAAACATGTATGTGAAATTCAAAAGCGCCTTGATAGTTTTGATATTAACTACCAGCCTATTGCTCTCTTGACCTTTCTTACTGTTCAATTGATAATACGAATTTAATCACCCTGAATCGTTTTTTGATCACTGGTCAGTTGTTAAATGTGTGAAACATTTTACACGGCTTAGTTTTGTGCTTGTTTTATTGGATAAATGGAAATAAATTCCTTAACATAATGAAATTAATTTCTCTCACGACAAGTACCAACTGTCGCGATTCACTAATAAAAACAAATTGCTCAAACATAAAACAGAGGCAGTAAGCAATTGGAAACTGACTGTCAAGAGTCAAACGAATTCTCAGTATGGCTCTTAACTCCCGCCTTTTTATGCGCGCTTCGGTGAACTAGAAAGGCTACCTGTAATTCACGCGGGCTAAATAATATTGTCACCAGTAGGCGGATAAAATATTTAGTCAGAACGAAGAAAATCTAAACATTTTTGTATCTCCATGAAGAAATGGGAATTTCTCAATTCTATTACAAAGTTGAGCTTTGCACGGATGCCTTAAAGGCAAAAGCAGTTTGTTCGAAGCGCTGTTACATATAACTGGTTTGTACAAGTGTTGTCATGAGTCACATTAGGTAATTGTTGTTCCTGTCACATTGTTCAGTGATCTATTCTATAATATATGAACACACGTGTTACTTACGAAATGATATTTCTCCAGTGCAGGCCCTCTGCCACACGATAGGAGATTTTTAAGGCTTGAGTGAAATCGTCCAAACCACAGAGTAGAAAGGTAAGTCCACGGTGAATGTGTATGGGAACTTTTGTTTCTAAAGAGGAGCCTGCGGTAAAAATCTGTCCAAATAGCCATTTACATAATAGTTTTGTCTACATGGTGTAGTAGGTAAATTATTTTCAAAACATTCCAAAGTTTACTGTTCCTCGTATGTTCGCCAGGAAAGGTAAAAAAATTGTTATTATTAGTAAAAATGTTGTTTTTATTAGTTGTTCAAGTTCAGCTTTGGACATAAAGAAATTCATCAAATGTTGGTCAAGAATTTGGTCATTAAAAGTGTCCTTGATTTTAACTGCCGTGACATTCTTGCGGGTAAAACCGCTTTTGACGCCTTAGGCAAGGTCTAGTCCCCATTTCTTTAACAACTCTCACAATTATACCCAGATATTCTAAATTTCAAGTTAAGCATGGAGATCGAGGCTAACACAAAATCCTCCCGGTTAGCGTATGAAGCCCAAAGGCCTTGGAATTACACAGTTTCTCTAACACTTAAGTTTCATCTGTGTAATTTATTATTTGTCATTTCTACAGACATCATGAAGTATTGGAGTTATATTTTTCTAACGCTTCTCATCACCCTTGCATCTCGAGGTGAGTTCTTTTCGATTGTATAATTACGTCGTGTTATGGCCCAATCTGATAATCGAAAAGCGTTCTGATATTAAGTGGCTCAGATCCTGATGAATCCGTTTAACCCGATAGAGATAAAGCCTAAAACGTTAAATCAAAGTTAGCTGTTGAACCCTGGATTTCACAATAACATGGGACAATCGTAGACAAAACCACAAGGTATAATAACGTGCTTTTAGACCTTTCTGGACAGGCGTCCTTGTAGCTGGTGGTAAATTCATGGTAAACAAAACAAAACCAAGCTGTCATGATTCAGGTAGAAAGTTCGCATCAACCAGCTGTGAGTGTGCTTAGATTTAACCCATATATACAGAGACTTTGAAACTGGCGATAATATTGTGTAGAATGGAATATTCGCCTTTCCAAAAATCTCAGTTATTACGCACGAATTTCAGCGACACTAAGGTGAACAACTGTTTGAGTATAAAGAAGCCCCCCTGTCAAAATATTTTCTTCATCTTCTTTCAAATCGTAAATACAAAAGGGGAGGATCTTGGGTGATAGCCCCTTGGGATTGATTACAGACACCATTTAAGACCTCCTTTTTACTAAAGTGCTATACATTACTTTTATCGGTGGCTTCGACACTCTATCGACCTAGATTTTGACCTTCTCGAAACCGTTCTATCCAAGCTAATACCTGTACTTAATACGATTCCGTCACGGCTGTGTTCACATGTTTATTACGAGCAAATTAAAGGCCATAGCGGGGAGTTTTATTCAAACTGCGTCCTTCTTAAGTCCCAAGAAAGTTATCCTCATAGTCTTTGCCTGCCGTACAACTACATTTACTCGGACAAAAGGTAAAAATCTGAGTCTTTATTCCATTTTTGAAAACACCACGTCTACCAAATTTTCATGGGCCTCCAGGTGGTCGCAATAACGGGTTTCCTCATTAAAAAGAATTAAAGGAAGTCATTCCTTAAATTCGAAGTCATTCCTTAAATTTCTTTGGAGGAGCCAAGGTGACTTTTTCCTGCCTTTGTAAATACCTTTGAAATGACTTTTCAACATAGCAATCCTATTAATCGGGAGAATGATTTCTTAAAGTTATCTTAAAAAAACACACACACAATGAAGCAGGTTTCCCAGTTGCGCCTGAAGTTCTTGTTCATAGTCTTAAGAGACATACGCGTAGAAAGACAAATTGCTAGCAGTAAAAGGCATTGCTACACAGTTATAAGTAAGTTGAATTTGACCGCCAGGGGAAATGTAGCCCTGAATAGCCCTGAGGTTGATATTGACTGACGTTACGACAACAAGTGCGGTAGTCATCTTCAGAGTCAAAGTAGGTTGTATCTATGTCGCTATTGTTGCACAGTAGGCAACATGCGTAAGATGGACAAAAACCATATCATATATACAACATATAAAATGTTGTTTCAACATCAATTGAAAAGCTCAAGAATGTCACGCAAACAATGCTACAACCAGTTGCAAAAGTACTTGAGACACAGTACCGTATTTTGGCTTAAATGGCTTGTCCATGATCTTGTGCTTGTGACGCCCCCTCCACCCCTTTTCAAAGTTGCTAGCAATACAAGACCATGCTCAAAACTTGGAGGAACAACTTTGAGTGGGGGTAGGGGGGAGGTCAGTATTTTGTCTCACAGACCTGTGACTAGCAGCGATTTGAAGCAAGACAGGTTGTTTTTTCATGAGAGTGTCTCAACATTTTTGCAACTGGTTGTAACGTATTTTATTCCTTGGAACTCATTCAGTGCCCCATTATCATAGAAAGGAAAATCGTATCGAGACTAATACAATGCCAGCTGCTGAGTCAGTGTGTGTGAGAAAAAGTTACATAAAGATGAACATCCCCCCAAATTACCTAAATCCAGACACATACTTGTATGGCGAATTAAATGTGATAACAGCGAAGACATATATGTATATGAGCAACTCAAGAGAGTAGTTGCAGTAGAAATTGAAGGTTTTTCATACGAATTACACTAGAATTTTTCAGTTTCAAAAATATTCGTTATCGGTAACGTTTTAACGGTTGTATCAACAGAAAAGTAGCTATATGTAACCGAAGAAGATGATTTGGGGCTAGTAGGGTTATTGGGCATTCATTAGCGTGTTTGAATGTAGTTTGCACTTTTGCGAAGAGGTAAATAATGTATTAATAATGTAAAACTATAAGACAGGTTAATGAATGAGCTCGCTTAATTAGTAAGTTTGGTCCTTTTTATAAAATCCAACGTCAAGGTTGACTACTTGTACTCCTTTTAAGCTGATAGTAACATTAGACAAATGCTGAAATTTCACACATACAGGCTGCACACCTGTTAAAACACGGAGTAAACGCTTAAAACTAGTTTAAAGTACTGTGCAACGTAAAAAGAGCACTATCAGCTACATCACCATTCCAGATGTGATCCATGCTCGGCCAAGAGACGTCCATTCCCCAGTACCAGACACCCCTCTATCACCAGAGACACCAGGGACACCGGAAACACCGGTCACTAAAGAAACACCTGAGACGCCCCGGACACCGGAGACCCCTGTCACCCCACTTACACCAGAGACGCCAAGTACCCCGGTATCTCCACGGACACCCGAGACTCCAAGAACACCCGAAACACCCAAAACACCTGACACTCCTCAAACACCGGAGTTTCCATTTGTTTTAGGCTCAGACGGCTTTATTTATCATACTGTCCCATATATGCATATCTTTCCGCAAGAGATACCACGTATGCCCAGTCCTGGCGATATACCGGAAGTTTCCATGGTTCAAGATCAGTACGATGTGCCCAAGGCTCCCAAACCACCTAAACCCCCGGAACCTCCCAAAGCCCCCGTCAGAAAGAGAGAGTATTTGGCGAGAGGTAACTACATGATGTTAATGATGGAAGTGTCATAAGGTGCGCATGCGTGATAAAAAAGACGAACTTGAAAAAATAAAAGATTATTCTTTCCAGCGCCCATATTATCCAAAGTAGTCCTCTGTTATCACCAACGTTTCTGGCATGTTAGAATTTGAGAAACGAAACTTTATTCATTCTGTTTTGTTTCTCATTATTTGGTCTTCATGAATAAAAAGGACATGTATCACACAAAGCAAGAGATCAAATCAACCAAATAAAAATGCATAGAGATAGGATTGATTGATTCAGAGGGAGCCAATCAGTTCTGCCTTGATCCAATGAATGCATAGAAAGGAAGGATCTAATTAGTTCACAAAGTTGTGCAATTTTTTTTTAGCCAATCAGAAAGTTTACCTTATTTTTACTTTTGTTGAAACCTCAGCCGCAGTCAAACGGCTAAGGCATCTTCTGCTTTATTCATTTATTTGCTCGTTTATACTAACATTTGTACAGGAGTACCCAGTTTTTCATTTTTTTTTCAATAATACAAGAAACATCCTTTAAACATAGTGAGCTTTTTTCACGGAAAAGGCTATGCGTCCCAGCAAATTTGGCATGGAAAATGTAGTTTATAGTTTCAGCTTTCAAAGTCCTGAGATCTATTTTAGTAAACTTTCCAAGAGTTAAGCGAGTTTACCACACTTTGACAACGTGTGTTTTGAAGAACTTTTCTTGTGTTTCTGCAGCGTTCAGTCACTTTTTGACGATAGGAAGATTTGTATATATGCTTCATACCCGGGTATGAGTAAATAAGAAGCAGGATCATTTCTTTCGATAACAGTACATAATATGCATGCTTAGTTTATGATCACAAGTTTTGAAAGAGTATTGTAACATTTGTGCCTAGCAATAGTAAAGCAGAGTGTACTATTCAAAGTATATAATAAGTGTTGACTACAGTCAAATCGGTAAGCTGGGTTATTGTAAATTTTCACCCATTCGCCCCAGGAAATTTTGCCGAAAAACGCGTTTTGAAGCTGGCCGAGCTGTTTTCTGGTCAGTGTGGTATAAAGAGCTAAAACTTACCATAAGACCATTTATAGATTTATAGGTCGAACACTTCACCGCTTTCTGATCCAGACGCACAATATTAGCTTGCGAAGTTCGAGAATGCGCGGAAAGCAAAACTTCGATAGAGTTTTTGGGTTAAAAGTGACACAGCAGTATTGACGTTTATTTTCGCTTTCTCTCCCCCTCTTTCTTTAGCTTTTCTTGCCTCATTTTTGTTTCTTTTGCTGGGCATTTAGTAGCCTTCCTTTCGGTGTGAAAAGTTTTTAAGAGGGCTTTTAGGATCTTAGGATTAGATGAAAGGAAAGGCAGGTGGGTAGTTGAACAAGACTTTCATCGAAAATCAATGTTACATGTTAGGCTGCGTGCAAACGGACGCAACAACTCTCAACATTGTTGCGCCAACAATGTTGGGAGTTGTTGCGTGCATGTTGGCAGTGGTGTGCAAAAGGATGCAACAACTCCCAACAATGTTGGGACCTGCAGTGCATCGTGGTAAGGAGACAACCCATAAGTCTTTGTAAACCATGCGTAATGAGCGTGCGTGGCCCCAACAAAGCTGTGCAAACGGATCCAACATTGTTGCGTTACGCTTCGGCGATCACGGGACAAAACAAATGTTGGGAGTTGTTGGCTGAAAGGTTTGACCGGTTTCAACTTTGCGCAACAACTTCCAACAACATGCAACAGGGTGTGCAAACGGACGCAACATGTACCATCCAACAAAGTTGAGAGTTGTTGGCCAACGATGTTGTGTCCGTTTGCACGGGGCCTTACAAATCAATGTTACATGGTCTTCGGTGTCCTTGACTAAATTGTGCTCATTCTGGTATGGTTTGCAAGATCTCTTGACTCTGCACAAGTAAACGGACAAAGTTTACCATGACTATTAAAACTGATAACGTCACAAGTAGTAGAAGGGACCTGGATCCGCACGGGCGGTTACGGGCGGATCGGGGGCGAGTGGGTTAAGAAAGACTCAAGTTGGGTGGTAGCTTTTAGTACTGACACATTTGGGTTCATCGACAAGTGTGCGATAAAAATGCCTGTACTCAATCAAACAAAAGGAGTGGCTCATTCAATATTCAGGGAAAGAACGATTTCTCACTTCTAAAAAAGGCTGGAGTTCAAGAAATCGTATTAAATTTCAAGACCTCCTTCTTCCCTATACTTTATGAAGTATTAGCCGCTTTGATTAGTCCTACACACTAGCACTGCAATTAAGCTTACACCAGTGGTCAACATAATGAAACTATGACAACTTTAATTTATAAGCATAGCTGCTATTTTACAGTCTGACAAAAACAATTACTCTTAAGTCATCTCCAAACTGAAATAAAGTGGTCATCATTACGAGAAACCTTGTCTCATATTGTTTGTCTCTTTTACAGGTTTTTCCCGGAAACACTCAAGTGAGTACTACTGAAAGAATTGTTAAACTTAACAACTTCATAAAAAAACCGAATAAAAGCGTTTATTAGGAAAAATCGTACAGCTAGACATATGGGCTATTTTTATTCATTGTAAATAGTAGTTTTCTAAATTGCCATCTCCTGAAAGTGATTTACTGCCGTCGTAAGACTTAAATATTGCACATAAACTGCAAAGTGGAACAGGGCAAATTGACTAGTAAGCTCATGTTCAAAGGTTTAATTCCTCTTCCTCCAAAGACTCATCAACTGCAGCCTATCCAGTTTAGCATACTATATTAGGTTGTTTTCACTCACGTGGTCAGCAACTATGCAAGTTTCTTGGAACTAGAGAACGGTTTTAACACGAGATAGAGTTCAATCCCTACTGGACTATGGCCAAACACCACATCAACATAGCCACCGTTTCATTGTTTTGTACTCCAACATGGCCGCTGTGATTTCATGTTAAAATGATCTATAGCTTTTACCTCGGCTGTGAAAATCTTTTTCTGTATTCCTATTGAAATTAATCGTGCAGCCGCCACGGCAAAATAGTCCTCTCACTGTTGTCACGAACGTTTCTGGCACGTTAGACTTTGAGAAAGGAAACTTTATTCATTCTGTTTTGTTTCTCATTATTTGGTCTTCATGAAGAAAAAGGACATGTATCACACAAAGCAACCAAAAAACAGGGAGGTAGGTACTGAGTTAAACTAGCGACAGCGTACGATGGAGGAAAGCGTCTTCTTATTTTCATTAATCCCAAGGAAACTTGACAAAAATTACTTTGTTAAGTCTCGAATTCTATGAAATTGCATTTCCATATTGTGTAATTACAATCGAGGGTTTAATAATTTGACATAGACTCATTTGCATTGTGGAGGTGTTAGTTTTAGAATATCCGCACTTTAAGTTCCTTGGGATTAACCGTGTCCACAAAATACATGAATTAGACATTCGTGCTGGAAGAGTACGCACCAAGGGATCATGTTACAGCATTCACAGTACAAACACGGCATAAAATGACATTTTTGATGAGGACAACTTTTTCTGAACAAAAATACAATACGTGCATACGATGAATAATGCTGGCTTCTCGAAAGGCGAGCCAACTCGCATAAATCACAAAAACACATAGCGTGCTTCGCCTACCTTGAAGTTGGACCATCTGTAGAATACGCAGTTTGAAATCAATAACAACACTTTTGCAATACAATTTCCTTTGAAGGAAGAAAACAAAAAAAAAACACTTCTAACCATGTTGTATCACATAAAAAAGCATTGTAATCGGTTTTGGAAATAAAAAAAAATGTATTTGACAGTTGCTCGTGTTTGCCAGGAGTGTTTGGTGTTCATAATTCCCTGGTACAGTAGCTTTCTCTTTTAAATTAGTAATAGCTCCTTCTTTTCTTGTGGTTGGCACATATGAACAGGGCATCATCGCCATGGGAATATCATACAAGGTATGTCAAGGACAGAGAACTCAAGCAAAAAATCTGGCGATTTCCAACAAGGTTAAAACATAATTTTACTTATTGCATGCCAAAGCCTGACACTTGTTGAGTACTCCAACAATGAGAGGTCAGCTTAATTTAAGGTAATCATTTTTCACCACCGATTGGTTTTATCGCCATTTCAGTAACACGCGATAATTCACAGGAAAAAAGGACTGAAATGTTTACACTTAAACAGATGGCATGAAAGGATCTTGAATCTTTTACGGGGCCTCAAAGTCAGTACCAATTTAGCACGAGTGGCCTTTCGGGCATTGACAAGGACAATCCACCACCGTTTTAGGTGTTCTAAACGTTACACCGGCTGTGCTTATGAGGAATATGTTACTACGAGAAAAATATTAACAAATGGTCGGATTGAGGATTTGTCGCATTCCTCTCGGTGTGATGAAAACATTGACAGCAAAAAGTCGAAGTCACAAAAGCAAGCCGAGATTAGCAGAAATTACCATTAATTTATTCATATCAAAATTAGGTGGCACATAATACAATGAATGCCGTTTAAATTGGAATCTCACTGATACTATAACTCTTTCAAGAGGATAAAAATTATGTTTATCACTGAACAGTCCACTCAAAATCGTGTGATTTCATTTGCCAATTAACTATGGAAATCCCTATGCTAAATTAAATGTTGCCTTCCCTCAGCCACGCTAATAACTAATAGTAAATCAGTAAACTCTTTAACTAACATTAGAAGAAGACGTTTTCTTCTCATCAGTTTCTTGTAGCGATCTTTTACACAATGTCTAATATAACGGGAACATTTTCTGAACAACTTCAGTAGTAGTAGGAAAGCTAGCTGAGAATTTGGACTGATTCAATAAAGGGACGTCAGACTTATTTTATCTGTCTTCCTTTTTCTCATTTCAGTTCCAGGACTTATGGATTCTGGGCCAACCTTGGGGGGAGGAGCTGGTGGTAAGATGGCTTAAATTATATTAAATCCCCAACGTAGGTTGTCCTTAAATCTGTGACTTTTAGGAAGTTAAAAGATATAGTTGAATGCCATGCAACTACGAAGTTACCACCGAACCCGAGAAACCAAAGACCTTTCTTTCCTTGTAAACTAAGGCAAAGTTAGATAGTATGGATTGAAATCCTGTAACGTCCAAATACGACGAAACGTCGGTTTTTGGATGTAACTAAAGGAGTTGGAGCAGCAATCCAGACGAATGGATTCCTTTGCGAATGTGTTGCAGCAATTGTCGATCTCTCCGTTTTTTCTTGGTCTTGTTTTTATAGGAATGAATGGAATAGGAGGAATGGGAGGGATGGGAGACCTAAGCATGGGCTTTGGTGCTGGAGCTACGTCTATCGGAGAAGGAGGTGGGGCCACAATGGAAGGTATGCCCATGCAGATGCCAGGAGCTATGGCTGCACCTGCTGCAATGCAGATGCAACAAGGCATGGAGGGAGGACCTATGGGAGTGCCTATGGGAGCCTCTCAAGAGGGCGCACCCATCTCAAAGCAGTTTATTGAAGGCGGTGAAGCAGGTGTGTATGATAACTATTAACGACACAATGAGAACAATGAGCAAGATAAGAACAACTACTTCACTTTGTCCCCTTCTCTGGTAAACCAGTTTTTTCCCCTCTATATAATGCTGTGTAACAGCGATGGTCTTGCTGCCGTGTAAGACCCAGGAGGCTGAGTAACATCTGGAGAATTATGGAGATCTCGGAGGGTGTTATCTGCCGAGGCCGTGAGATCTCCATAACTCTTCAGATAATACAAAAGCCGAATTTAATAAATTGTTTTATTGTTCATTAAAAATAAGCCCTAGTTTAAAAACAAGCTAAAAAATGCTTACCTCCATAGATTTTAAGTTCATCTTCGATAGTGCATGTTTATCGGCAAGTTTAGGAGATGAAGACTTCTTTAATTTTGCAAATATTCCCCAAATAGCAGATATCGTCCGTCAATAGTTCGCCTATTTCCTCCTCGTGAAAGGAGTGAAATTTTCCGCCATTTTGCACTCACCGTCAAAACGACTCAACTAAAACATTAATTGTATCAAAACTCTTGAGTAAATGAACAACTTTGATTTGCACAATGCCACGCAATGTAATGGCAATGTTTCGCACCGGTAAAGAACCAAGTCCGGGACGGGTCTGCATGAGCAGCGCGTAATTTTTCAAATAATACCTCTGATGATACCGAACTGTAGTAGATATCTTTTGGATGACATTCAGAACATTTAGATGGATTATGCACGTGTATCGTCGTCAAATTGATGCAGGTTTGAAATTCTCTTATTGTTTCAGGCATGGCAGGTGGTATGCATGGAATGTCCCAAATGGCAGGAATGGCAGGCATGGGTGGTATGGGAGGACTACCGCAAATGGGAGGAATGGCTGGTATGGGTGGAATGGGTGGAATGGGTGGAATGGGAGGCCTTGGAGGAATGGGTGGTGGAATCGCGGGTATGAACATGGAAGGAGGTAAGATAAAGATGTCCTGGATTCAATTATTCTAAATTCTATTTGGTCAAATAAAAGGGATCTTAAATGGCAACCGGAAAATGACATTTCCTCTCGTTCAGTGCTCTGACTCGAAAATTCGCACAGCGGGGGTTAAAACAAACGCATCCAGTTTCGTTGGGTGAGACAGAAGGGTTCCATCAAGCGAGATATCGAACTTCATGACGTTCTGGACATCTACGTTCTCGTTGCTTAAGGTCCCTAATATGGCCTAAGGGCCCCGTTACACTTGCCAGTTTTCTTGCAATCTGTTTCACAATTTCGTTGCGCCATTGCGAGACAAGTTGCACAAAGAGGATCCTGGTAAAATCCACTGAAGTGCACGTATCTCCTAAACTGTCTATTTCAGTTGGCACTGCGAATAAACTTTTTTGTACATCGTGTAACTCATAGCTACGGGAAAAATATTGCGAAACATGTTCATTTCAAGGGGTGTAACTCTGGGCAGTTTTTCTAGCAAATTTTCTGATAACAAAATTATAAGATAACAGGGCCTTAAGGAATAATTGGGTCTGACTCTCTACATCTACCATACCAAGTCGTCCTTCGTATTTCTTGTTTTACAGGTATGCCTAGCATGGGAGGACTAGGAAATGCTGGCGGGGCAGGAGCTATGTTTACGGGAGCTCAGGAAATGGAAGGCCAGATGGGAGGGGGTATGGGTGGACCGATGGCTAATGTCATTCAAGGTGCTCTTGGTGGTGGTGTGCCGGGTATGGCACAAAAGCGAACGAAGATGGGGAAAGTGCACAAGTTGTTGAGTAAACTTAGCAAGAGAAAGGAAATCAAGAAGCATCAGCATAAGAACTGAAAGAGAATAACGCCTGAAAATGCCGGGAGAGGAGACCTTGTAGGAATGGAAAGAACCGCTGAAAGAATCTGATCCAAATCTCGATGGACAGCAACATTACATTTAAAAGTTGTCAGCTTTAGTAAAGCTGATGAAATTTATGCGTGATATCCAAGAAGTTTAACAAAAATTATTAAAAAATAATTTCAAGTATCGTCGTTTAAAAGATCACTTCAACAAAATAAGACAGTCTCTAAATATCAACAGAAAGTAATAAAAAATAATTTGCAACTGCATTGAAAAAAGAGAGGAAAGAAATGCCAAATTCAACCGTCAGACTTGTTTGTATAACCATATAACTGCCACAATTTGTATACAGATTTTAAGATTTTCATTTTAATTAAATTTTTTTATTTCCTATCATATCATGAAATCATTTGAAAAATAAGCAGAAATAAAACTGTCACCAACACATTACAGCTAAGCGTTTCATCATAATAATTGATGAATAAAAATAGACTACCCAAATTTTTCAAGCTCTTAAGCCCGAATCAAGACCCTCTTCGTTATTCAATGGTGATTTATTAGCATTATTTCAAGAGGTTTTATGGTGCCTTACGAGTTACTTTTAGTTCATTTCCACGGAGAACAGGATACTTCCCAGAAAAGAGACAAGAATGGAGATTCTTCCTCGAATGAATTGGGTGGAGTATCACCCAAGAACAAATTTCCCTAATTTTCGTAACCGTATCGAGCTACCTCGTTCACTTTACTTACCCCAACTTCATGTCATCACTGCCTGGCATTGTGATCGTCTAGTTTCCGTTTGAAATGTTAATGAAACACTGCGGTAATGTTGTTTCGGAGTCTTAGCAACCTGAATGTCCTTTAGCAGCATGTTCCAAATTTCTCGTTTTTTAATGACAACATACAATTTGGTCAAATTCTGTCATTGCTTGCAATAAAGACTACGGTATTGATGCTGGCAGTCGCTTATGGCCACTGTTCACAAAAATGCTTGCTTCTAGGAAAGGAAATTAGGGGAACACGCCGCAAAATTGTGAAAACGGAGGAGTTAATCTGAGGTAAAGACGGTAACGGCAACATTTGCTTACCAAAAATACGGACCGGGGTTGTGAATAAGGAAGTAAAAGTGGCCATAACCGTCTTGGTCCCAGATTTACTCCTTAGTTTCTACATTGTTGCGACATACTTACAAGGCGCAAATTTGTGCAATTCCATTTTTCGTTCAGTGAGGGATTGTAGACTGTGTGCGGTTGATATGTCGACCTATAGAGCTACGCAATCGGTTGGAACGTGTTAACAAACAAGGCAAAATAAGTTGAATTATAAGTTTTCACTAATTCCACTGCAATCTACACAGCCAATTTAAAAGATAAGCAAGCATTCTGTATACGTTGTAGGCTATTCACTGTGTAGTTAGACAAGCCTTATAATAAGCTGTTACTACAGCGAAGTCGACTGGATACGAGCGCATGAATGAGTCTCGGTTGACTTTTATGAAAGATTTTTCCTGATGCGTTGTACGTCGTACAATTAGAAAATTAACGAACCTCAGATTATGCTTTGACATGGATATCCTAGAGTCGAACCATGAACCGAGATACCACGCAGCAGGCACTGAATGATTTTTGGCGTTACCCATGATGAAACTGGTATGTTGACCTTTTTCAACTGTTGTGGTGTGCCATTTATGATAAATTCAGTCTGGTCATCATTCAACATCCACAAATGAATGTCCGATATGCAATTGTCCGTATTTTCAAGGCTGAAAGTTGGTTTGACTTACGACTTAAACTACACGAAACTTTAACCTATATATAATCTGCATAACAGTGAACCTTAGACAAATGAGTTTTGACAACCTTAATGAGCTTGCTCGAAAAAAACGTAAATAATAAGACAGGAACCCTGAGGCACACCACATTCTAAGACAAGCTCATCAGAAAGCATCTCATTAATCAATACCTTTTAGATCTTCCAGACAAATATGACGTAAACCAAGAGAGAACTTTGCCTTGTATACAACACGAAAACTGTGGTCGTTGCAAGAGAGTGTCATGGTCAGCGGTATCAAAAGCGGCGCTTACGTCTTGGAGCAGAAGCAACGTAACGCGTTGGTTCTTTATATTAAAAAGAATGTCATTGGTGACTCTTCAGTGCGGTCTCTAAGCTTTGATTCTGACGATATGGCGATTGCGACTCAGAGAACAGGTCGTTACTGAACAAATAATGATGTAATTGCTTAGCAACTGCAAAGTATATAAGTTTTGAAACAAACGCAAAGATAATTAACAGGCCTGTTGTGTCTTAACCATCTTTATCTAACAGCGGCCGTACCAAAGTAAGCTCCCACGCACGGAGAGAGCACTTACAATCCAGAGAAAGGTTAATTATTTGCAGTAATCGATCAGGGCATTCTACGAGTTTGGTTAGTATAGGATAAGGATACAGATAACTTACGAATAAACAGAACTGTTTGTCTAATCATGCAGCGGCACATTCTTCAATATGAAGCCACAGCAGACCAGACCACGTACCAGGTCATCACTTACGAAAGGTTTTAAGTAATGCAAGATGCTAGACCACACCCGGGAAAGTGGTCGCCACATCGCCTTCTACGATTTCTCTTTCCCTCTTTTCTCCGCAGAGTACATAGACCCCGTTGAATCCCCTAAACTGTAACGGCTTGTACCGCAGTAGTCAAGAGACCAACTCTCGACCACTTCCGCTTGTTGGGAATTACTTAAATCTTTTCTGGCAAAAATTGATGGCTTCCTTGTAGTCACACATTTTGCCGACATGGGTCGCTCCAGCAATCCTCTACACCTATGTATAGTGTTAACTCCATTGTTCTAAGGAAATACTTCAGTTTTTTTGGCTTATCCCAAGCATTTTAACTAAATTCTTTCTCAAAGCATTCAATGAAGAGTTGCGGTGTAGTTGACCTCTTAAAGGAAGTCCGTGTCTATGCACGTCACCCTACGGGGGTTTCTTGTTCTGAGACTTACCTTGAGGAGCTAATGTACCACCTCCTGTCCGATCTCCTTCGCGACGAATTCGTTACCAAGGAGCTGGAGACCTATATTGTGGTCCTCATAAATTGGAGAAAAGTTCTCTATGCTATGGACTGGCCCAATAACCTTCGACGATCACAGGGGAAAACCGTCGTTCGTCCTCCTTCTACTGCTGTACTTGGGACTATTTGCCCCAAATTCTTTCCACACTTAACCACGTTGCATAGGCACGCTCTAGTGTCCTGTGAATCTCCCAGGAACGTTTGTGTTTTCCTCGCCTTTGATGGTTCCTTCTGAGCTTGTGGCCAGGTCCTTAATGGTTACATTTCCTTCTCCTCTCGAGTTACTTCCAGCTGGTCGCCAATTTCAGTATACGGTCGTCTGGTCAGGTAACCTCATAATGTGTTTCCTTTCTGTCAAGAAACACTCAAGTCTAACCGATCCGCTGCTCTCCCGAACCTTGAGGTTCAGCTCTGGATCGTAACCATTGCTTCGCTCAAGATGAGTGGCTTTGGTGCCTCTCTTTACATTTTCCACGATCAGAAAATCAACCTCTCTAAATTCTCCAGCTCCAAATAAAAAAAAACACCGAGCCTTTTAGTTGCATGTTTAGTAGATCCATAGCAGCCGCTGCTAGGCACTTTACCTCACACAGTACCGACAGCAAGCCGTGGGTCGAAACTTTTAATAAGCTCTGTCGTCATTTTTTTCAATCTTTACATGACTTTGTTCTTGTAAACCGTCAGCCGTTAACAGATGTCGCTGCCCCACCAAGCTATCTCTACCATCCTGCCATCTGATTTTGCAAGTTGCAATTCACCAGCTTGTGATTACCCCCTCTGTAGAGTCTGCTATAGTAGTATATGGTGGATCAAAATGAACTATCTTTTTCGGTGGGCGTTATTGCTGTATTTTAGCTTTTTTGAGCTCATCCTCACTATATTCGGATGAGCTCAAAAAAGCTAAAGTACAGTAATAACGCTGACAGAAAAAGTGCAGTTCATTTTGATCGACAATATGCTACTTGAGTTATAGCAGCATTGAAACGAATTTCCCTTGGCTGCCAATGGAAACGGTCGGTCTTCGCCCACAAAAACGGGTTTCCCTGGTGCAAAAAAAACAGGGAACAAATGTTTTGATTGATGGCTTGCCGAGGCGGCCACAGCGGACAACCGCGAGTAACCAATTAGAGGGCTATTAAATATATACAACGATGGAAACCCACTCGTTCACATCAGCACCAGAACAAATGTTTGGCGCCGTAACCCCACAAGGGCTATTACTGCCCTTAAGGCCCAAACCTGCGCAAAGGGAGCCTGTGCCACGATCAAGAAGGACAAGCGCGCAGACTGCGAAAATATGACCCGTCCCTTTATCCAAAAATTACATCGTAGCAGCCTTACCAGCGAGGCGCAATATACCAGCCTGGTATGTGAATGTGACCCAAGCGTATCAAATCATTGTTGTTAAGGGGCAAGGGCAACCAGTCATCACATCCATCAACTTTCACACTTGAATCGTTCGCTTTAGAGGCAAATAATGGATAGAGTCGAAGGGTTTAAAAGAAATTATTCTTATTACAACCGGCTTAGAAATATCGAAACCGAACAAAACGATTGCATGGCTGGAAGAAGGAAAGAAAAGTCGGTGGTTTAACAATCGTGGAGAGGCAAAAGGCCGAATACAGAGACAAGAAACAGCAGAAACATTCACTCGGCCCAACACAAAATATGCTTTCGTTAGTTATATGTCGATCCAGTGCAAGGTAATTTTGGACAACCAACCGCTGCATGTTGAGAAGGACCAAGAAAGGTTTGTATGCATTGGATACTTTCAACGACAATCTGTGTGTTTTTCGTTGTTTGGCAGTGCAAAGAGGAGCGCATAAAAAGAATAATCTGAAAGAAACAAGATGCACCATATCCCGTTAATTGCGAGGTATTTCAACCAAGCAATCATTATTTACGATGTTTCGGATGAAGGCGTGTTTGGGTTATGTGGTCAGTTTACCCCAGAAGAGAAAGAAGAAAAAGAAGAACAATATCGACCAATGACCATCGATCAGTTTTACGCCATACTGCAATGTGCAAAAACGGGCAAACAAAGATAGTCTGTTTAGAAGAAAAGATTTGGGCGCCACAGTTCCTGTACGAAAGAGCATTTTATCCAAGGGGTAGATACGGAAGACCGCCTTTTATTTGCTAGAGAGCGAGGCAAAGCGGCATGGAATCCACATCCATTATCAACTGCGTGGGCAGGGAGGTGAGCGGTTGATCGCGGGCATCCAGTGGACGAGTATCATCACGAGAGTAAAACAGTATACTAGTTCCATGGTTGTCATTTCCACGGATGTTCACAATGTTACCCGGACAGAGATTATGTTTTGAACAGGAAGAAAGGGAAGAATGTAACAGGAGATGTATATTAAGAATGTTGCAAGGAAACGAAACAATCGTCCAAGCGGAATACAAGTTGGTTGTGCGGTGGGAGCATGAGAGCATGAGGGACCATACCCAAGGCGTTGCAAGCTTCCATGCAAGCAGAATGAGACGTTTCCACATGCAATTGTGTTCAATTTTAAGGCTATCAAGACCCTGGGAAAAGGAGACGCCCACCACAGATTTGGTTTTCGAGAGCGAGTACGTCCCTTTATCAGTGTCCCTTGCGGACACGTTCGACGGAGAGCCGAAGCATATTTCAGCAAAAGACCCGAATGAGCCGTTAAAAAAGTTCTGGGAAGCGTTGGTGAGGCGAAGAGAAATTTTGAGGGAGAGGATACATGCCGGACGATACGTGCCGGAAGATTACGAGCTATTGTCGAAAAGATAGCAGGTGACAATACGAGATTGTTGCAATATAATACCAGTGCTGGGTTTCAACTCTGGTTAGTATGATTTGAACGTTATCGCATATTGAGGCAGAAAAGTAGGTAACGGTGGCCAAGAAGGAAGGAAGAATCATGTTCTTGTCCCCATCGAATTTCAAGTTTTTGGGCACGAGTTATGAGAAGTGGGTGAAAACGTACGGAAGCAGCCAGACAAAATCATGGCTGCCTTATGAGTGGTTTGACTGCACAGTCAAACTGGATTATGAGAGTTTGCCGTCGTATCGTTGTTGGTTCTAAAAACTGAAGGACGAGTTTGTCTTGTCGCCGGAAGAGTATGAAGAATGCCAGCGAGTGTTCCGTGCGGGCAATAAGACGTTCGCTGATTGGTTAAAGTCGGATTGATGTCAGACCATTCCTGGAAGCGCTGGAAAATATGAGAGGGTCCTACTCAGGGCACGGTGTCCGCATTTTCAAAGACGCTGTGTCGCTTCCTGATGTGTCATCGCAGTACCTCCTGAGTGGAACGATGCAGGGCTTAAACGCCCTAGAGTTGTATGCGCCGGGGATAAAGGCGTACGAGATGATGCTCAAAGGGGCAGTCGTGGGCGGGCCAAGTCTGGATTTTATCAGAAAACATGGGGCGGGAAAAACGACGATAAGGTCGCATAAATATAAAAAAGCTCGCACGTACCAGCAGGTACTCGGTTACGACGCCAATGCGTTGTACCCAAGCACCATGCTGCAGGAAATGCCCTTCGGACCTGAAAAAGTGGTGCATTACGAGAATTCCGCCGAAGAGGTTGATAGGTCGGTAAGCCGCCTAAGAAGGAAAAGATGGTTCGGTTTTGCGGAGCTGGAAATCAGAGTGCTAAGGGAGCTGTGGACAAAACTGGAAAAAATTTCGCCTTTGTTTTAGAACAGTTTTACTCCAGAGGAGGCGATTCTGGAGGACAAGAAAGAGTATTTGGAACGAACCAAGCGTACTGGGGTACAAAACTATAAGCTTTGTAGGCGGCTCGCAGGGAAGAAGACATTGCTTTACGCTCCGCTCGTGGAATGGTATCTCGACCATGGCCTTGAGATCACAGCGGTGCATCGAACCATCGACTACACCCGAGAGAAAACCTTTACCTGGTTCGTGAACAGAGAGCAGGCGCAAAGGAGACGAAGACCCAGACAAAGCCCTCCTCGCAGAGATGTTCAAGTTGTTGGGAAACAGCGCCTACGGAAAGCTAATCGAGGCGAAAGAAAGACAGACAAGGGTGATATACACAAGGGACCAATGTGTAGTGGACAAAGCAAAACGTCGTATGGTTCGATGACATGGGCGAGATTGGCGTCGTGTTCGAGACAGTTTCGAAAGGAGAAAGTGACGACCAACGGGCCGTTGCGGGTGGAACTGGTGAAGCTGCGAATGTTGCAGTTTTATTACTATTGTTTGGACTATTTCATCGATAGGAGGGATTTCGAACTCATACAGATGGACACTGACAGTATGTATCTGGGGTTCTCGTGCAAAATGCTCGAAAAACCGGTCCAGCCGGAGCTTCTCGAAGAATTCAAAGTGACAAAAATATTTAGTTCGCATGGGATAAATGAAGCAGTCGCACACCGGCCCTTTTCAAGATGGAGTTCCAAGGAGCCCGTAAGATCGTCCTCCGCAGTAATTGAGAACGAAGAGAATAGCAAAGCCAAGCTGTCATCGAAGTGCGTGTCCAAGCGGCAGGACAAGCTCACATGGGACCGATATGAGGCAGCGTTAAACGGAGTGGAGGACAAAGCCACAAACCGGGGTTCAGGATGGTGAAAGGCACGATGCAAACACATACCCAAAATAAGCTAGGGCTGAGAACGTATTACAACAAACGGTGGGTGCTGCGGGACGGGATCCACACGAATCCTATTGAAGAATAATGTTAGGCGGAATGGCAAGCAGCTCTTTACGCACAAACCCTAGTCTGCTACACAGCCGTTTTTAGTGTCGTCACGCAACGCTCCTCCCCACTAACGGCTGCTGAAAATCGAACCACATTCCTTTCCCGCGATTAGCCAATTAGAATTCAGCTTCCATTTTCTGGAAGGTGTTCGCGCCATGTTTGCGGTATGGTGACTCCTCCAATCACAGCTTTGCTTTTATCAGTGCCCTATGTGTGAATGACGGAACAATGAAAATCGACGTGTGAAAACAAGCAATCAACTAGAGTAGTGTTGTCGTAGTCCTTTCAAAATTTTTGAAATAACCAGCAACAGCAAGCAAGTCGAGCAAATATGATGCACAACATGGTTGTGCTTATAAAGTTGCCGGGTATAGTTTCGGGAAATCGCTTATCGATAATTTATAAGGTTGCTTTTGTTTGAATCAGTACTCCTGAGAGTTTAATCTTCACATGTACAACAACACAATGAGCACATCCGGCACATGAAATTCATCATACGTATGCACGTTAGAAAGAACTAACTGATCCTGGTAAGAGTCTTGTAGGCCTACCAAACCGTTTTTTTTTTCACTTGGCCGTTGTTAACCGCTTAAAACAAACTTTTCTGCAAAATAACTTTTCGTTGCTTGCAGACACAGAGCTCATCAAAATTCAGCGACGATTGATTGACTTGTCAGAAACTGAGAGGCATGTTCGCTCCTGGCGCCCTGCGGCTCATGCATTGTCAAGTTTCTTATACATGATTGGTTTGTTCGTTAGACCACAAACACAATGGAAAAGGAATGTAGTTCGATTTTCAGCAGCCGTTAGTGGGGAGGAGCGTTGCGTGACGACACTAAAAACGGCTGTGTAGCAGACTACACAAACCCCCTTTCGGGCCGTCTTGCAGATAATACACAATTGGCTCGTTGGGCTTCACGACACGGACCGCTGCCCCTCAGGCAGGCCGTTTCAACAGCACACTGGTGTCTGAACAGGCGTTCAGCAAGGGTGCGGTTATGTCTTTCCGCGATTACCTGGTCCTAGTGAATCTCCGTGCGCCCTCGACGAATGTGGTTTTTCCATTTCTTTGTTGACGGCACCCATGAATGTCCGGCCAGGGTCGACCTAAAGCAACTGTGGCCAATTCAAAGGCTCGCGATCGTAAATTTTTTTAAAACGCTCGGGACTTCAGCAGTCTTTCCAGGTCAAGAGTTCGGCCTCTTTGAAACAGCTGGCAACATCGACCACTTTCAAATCGTCTTTGTATTTTTTTCGCCTCCGACCACGCCCCGGAGTGTCATGTGGTAAAAAAGGATCTGCTTAGTGAACTGTATTTGGGGTGGACACATCGAATTTGGGGAGAGGAATGTGTTTTGCAGCGACGAGATTTATTTGCCAAATTACTTGCTTGATTAGCTGCTTTTTCGCAGTATCGTCGGAGACTTTGCCGCGACGGCGAGCGTTTTGATGCCAATATCCTTGAGGGCTATAGTTGGTTTTCGAACACTTGACCTCTTGGCCTCTTTTAAAAGTAATGGAAAGCCTCTTGGACATGCTGCGGCCGGAAATGCAAGGAGTTATGAATGAGATGCTCATTTTTTTTATAAAAAAACATATGCAATGGCTTAACCGTATGGATGATGAATTTTGGTTAAAAGAAATTATATAAAAAAACGAAAAGCGGCGTATCCAAGCGCAACAGCACCTATGCCGACAAAAATTATCAAACATTATTTTTGCAGAGCACTGGGTTGGTAGAACTCAAAGAACGTGGGTTCATTGGGAATGGTGAGTTGCGCCTGTTGGTGAGCCTGGTTGCACAGTTTGAAGGCCTAGTCGGTGTTCGTATAATTCTGCTTGGTCTGCTCTTTGATTTCGTGCTGCGTTTCAATCCAGTCAAGGAGTTTCCTTCTTTGTCTTTCGTATTTGGCGTAGGCGGCTCAGTAAGCCTCAAAAGCTTTGTCATGTCTTTTTTTCTTCGAGGGAAGGCCTCTGGATCATAGCCAGAAAGAAAAAGGACAAGATAATTACGGCCAACGAAAGCGAAAGCGTTTATCACAGCACCTCCAGCCAGAATTGCAACAAGTGCCATGCTACATACAATACCCTCATTTGGGATTATTTTTTGATCCTCCAGGTACTGTGTTAGAGCTATGCAGCATCACGACGGTGAACTTCATGTAGTTCATCGCATTGCTGCTTGGGTCTGAAGTGAAGTTTTCTTTGACTGCTTTTTTTTTGCAATCCAGCAATGCTGGCGGCCAGACCGGTTAGCGTTACCGCTTCGAGAAACGTTTTAACAAGCTTGTTTTCGGACTTGGTTGTATATATTGCATTGAAATTTCAATCCATATAACGGAGGTTGTGGTGAGGCTTTGGTTGGGGCGCCGGGTTTCCCCGGAGAGAGGCCATAGTTGCCTCTCGTTGATAAAAAAATCCCCACAGTGGAGACAGCCTGGCCTCCTATGCCAAGAATCAAATAGATGGGGCCTCTGCCTCCTGTGGTGGAGGGCTTTCCTTCCTCTTTTTCCTCTGCGGAGGCTTCTGGTGCTTAATTATTCTTTTTTATCTCACATGCCAGGCGGTTTCGTTCGACTGCCTTTTTAACAACTCGCGCAGGATGTTTTCTTGTAGAAAGTTTTGACAAAACCTACTCTGGAACTTCAGCAGATACATCCGTTTTCGTTTCCATGTTGTATATAATAAATGAGAAATGTGTTTGAAGTTCTTTGACAGCCTCTTTTGCAGGTTCCTTCTAAGGTTCTTGTCCCGGTTCTTTGCAGGTTCGTTTTCAGCTTCTGTGCAGGTTCCTTTTTCAGGTTCTTTCTCAGAAACAATGTGTTTGGCTGCGATGAAAGCGGCGTTGGCAAGCGCAAACAGGCGGCAGCGCAATACCATATTACCAGCCACAGACGAGAACTCGGAGTTGATTATTAAATCTTCTTACAGGTCCTTTTGCAAAGCTTTTACGTCATCCACGTTGACGAATATACCAATAGTTTTGCTGAAGACCCTCAAGAAGTTCTTTATCAAACTCTCGTTTGTCTTACCGTAAGCTTCACATAGTCAGTAAAATTTCTCCACATCTTTGCCTGAGAGGGGTTTCATTTGGTCATGTGGCAGCTGGGTGCCGAGTGCCTCTTTGCATTTGCCCGTGGAAACAAGCATAATCAGCTTTTCGCGTTGTTCTGAAACGTTGTTGGCGGAGAGTGAAACAGGAAAATCTGAGGGTTTCGAAGTGTCTGGAGGTGACTTAAGCATTTGCATGACTTCGTTCAGCGCTTGTTCTTCCGCAGCAGCCATGGTCTATGTAGAAAGTTTTGAATCTTGAAGTTTGATACCGTAGGAACAGGGCATTTTTCAGCTCATTCATCTGTTCCCTGTACTCTTCGGAGGAAAGCCGGCCAGCGTAATCTTCAAAGATGGCTTCCGTGGTTTTGGCCGACGGAGAGTAAAACAGAACAATGGCGGCCTCGTCTTCACGAAAGGTTTTTCCAACGTTGGTGATCTGCTGCGTCAGAACTCCAACGCTTATACCTGCATGGCGTCCTTCTAGGCAGCGCAATCGTCCAAAACAATAAGCGTGTTTGCTCCCTGCAAAAAGGTCTGCTCAGTTTACGCCAGAGTTCGACCTCTTCTTGGGGGCAGTCAACAACAAAAATGCTCGAATCGTGATCCACAAACCGTTCGTAAGTTTTGGTGTGGACAAAGGTTGGACATATCAAAATCATGTCGTCAAACTTGCCTGGAAAAGGGCCCCGCAGTTGGTTCACAAAATATTGGGTTTTACCGGAGTTTGTAGGGCTCACGATCAGCCCGTTAAAAGGTATGTTGTTTCGATTCACTTATATTTAATACTGCACAGAATGGAACTGTCTGTCCATAATTTTCAGTTAAGGATCGCTGATTGTGAAAACGTGGCATTTTAAATTTCCCGAGCCAGAGGTCTTTCTTTCGATCTCAAGGAACACACTGTCTTTGGTGTTCACAAGACGGATGCCGCTGCCGTGCATTGTGGTGTCCGTCAGGGAACGCAGGTCGATTAACAGCTCAAACTTGTTATCTGTGTAGAACTTTGTGTGGTCCATGTTGCTGGTTCCCTTTTCGAGAGAAAAAGAACCGCAGGTCGATTATAAACATTGTTCAAACTTTTCATTATCTTTGTTTCGAGAACTTTTTCTGGGGCCCTGTTGGACTCAATGAAGTTCTATTGAGCGATCGGCGTTGAGAATCGACTTGAATATTTAATGTGCGGTCGGTTTTCTTTGCGAAGGTGACCACCTCTTCTCGCAAAACATAATCATAAGCGAATGTCTTACCGCTGGAGTACACGCTGGTTGCCTCGTCGGCCAATGTCTTACTGCAGATGGTCTCATACTGCAGCTGAATTTTTGTCAGCTTGTACACCAGCTTTGATGCGTCTGAGCCTTTTACAATCCGCGAGGGAGGAGCAAGCGTCAGCTCGAAAACAAGGTTGGTGAAAAGGGCCTGTGGGTAAAAATCCCCGTGATCGGCCAGAAAATCGTGGTCCAGCTAGATGCTGTATTTGTTGCTGAAAACAGCGTTCAGAACCTTTGCAGCTTCCACATCCGTTTTATCTTTGTTACCAGCGTACTAGCGAATCTTACAAAGTTTTTCGCTTTGGGTTCCCTGCAGAAGCATATTATTGCGGTCAATAACTGGAAGGAAAAGATCCTCGTAAATTTTTAAATGTCATAGCCAATTGTATCGTGGACAGTGGTGCCCGCGTATTTTACAGTGAACTTGTCAACCAGCGTCCTCGAGACGTTCTGGACAAGATTAGTATTGAAAAGAATCGCCAGGGAACCCGGGACGATGCCATCAGTTTTATTCCGCTTGGGCTAAGCAAGGCTAAGCCTTCATACGCCGCGGGTTTTTCTTAGGGCGTTGGTCGAAGATTTTTTGTATCGCAACTCTGTCGTCCATTATATATATAAAAAATGGTAGAGGGTGGTTTTGAACCCCGACCCTGACTGGCACCTCAACCACGATGACGATGACGAGCAATCAGTTAACCGCACCGACCCTTTCAAACGGGCTCTGCATTCACACCTTATCATGCAGGCGAACAAATTGAAGTGCACATTCATCCTGAATAACAGAGCGGGCTGCCGAAACCTGTTTAGATGAAAACACACCTCTTGTTGGAGGTTCTATTCATAAAGAAGACAAACCAGCAATTCTTGATAGAGCAAGAGAGATTATTACCAGAAGATTTTCAAAAGTCAACTTCGCCAAACTTGGCCAAATCAGGTTTAGCAAAAAAGGAGATGACGCTAAAATAGTTTTATTTGGGCCAAAGGGAGGCGAGTCCGACATTTTCAAGAAAAACGATTCGGACCTGCTTAAATCACTCACAGATAGATTCAAAAATACTCTTGGCCCAAAAGCCGAAGATATCATTGCAGAGGACAATAAATCGATCAGAGAAGAAAAACAACTAAGGGGAAGGAAAGAATTGCCGCCGATCACCAACGAGCCAATGATGAGGTGCAAAATTTGACAAACAAAATCGAACAAACCCAAGCCAAGATTGAGGCTTTTGACGAAGAACATGGAAATGACAGCGAATTGCAAAGACTGAAATTATTGACAAAATAATCTTCAAGACGATTTTGAACGGGCTAAACAGAGCTTTATGACATACAAAAGCAACAACAACAGAAAGAGAAATCACAAAAAAAGTCGATAAGCTGACACGAAGAATTGCTTTCGAGGAAAAGGAAAGAAACACACTCGAAGAAAGACTCAACAGCACAAAATCACTCGACGACCTTAGGGGCCAAGAATCCGAGCTTGAACGCCAAAACGAGGATGATAAAGCAGTAATGAACGAGGAAAACGCTTTGTCTTCTGGAAAAGAAGCCGCCGAAGCCAGAGTGGCTGAACGTAAATTGGAGCTCTCACAGCTCAGAACAGAGATTGGGGAGAGGGAAAAAGCATGCCGCTTTTCGAAAAAGTAAATGAAATCTTCAAAAATTATGGGTTCACTGTCTCTGCTATTGTCCTTGCCGCCTGGACTGTCATTGGCGCTGTTATAAGGGCGATAACAACCTCCCTGAAACCACTGGGCAAAGGCATAGGAAAAGCTCTGCAAGATGTTAGCAAAAAAACAGCTTCCCTTTGCCCGGCCTCATCTGCTCGATCGTGAGTTTCATTTTCAAAGCGGCGGGACAGGCCATCTCATTTTTGGCGGAGCACACCTGGCTTATAATTTTTGCTGTGGTCGGTTTGTTTATGGAAAAGTTTCTCAAGCGCAACCGTTAACGCTTCCAAACAAACGCACCTGTCAAAAGAACTGCTCCCACAACGAGCAGCGCCTTGTTTATGTCGTGACTTGTGGTCGCTGGCGCGGGTATGGTGGAGGGGGTCGGGTTGGAAGGAGGCTCTCCCAGACCTTGCGCTTTCATTGCTGCCTTGTGGATTGGATTTGAAGGATGGGGTGGTTGGTGGGTTAAAACTAAAGGCCCGCTGTCCATGAGGCGCAGACTCACTGTTGTGTCTCTTTGTTTACGTCATTGGTTAACCCGAGCTCCATGTTCGGTGTTGCCTGCTTGAGCTTGTTGTTATAGGCATCTGTTCTCTCTGTGTTGATCACCATGCGAAAGGGCATCAGCCACGCTCTGGGCGCCGCTGCCAAATCAAGGCGCAACTTTCCTTCGTCTATAGGCAGCTGATACCTTCGCACACCTTTGGACAGGTCTGTCTGCCTTGTGGAACGCTCCAAGGACGCGAGAAACTCGCTCTGTGCTTCTTTTGCCCGGCCTCCATTACCAAGAATGCTGCTTTGCACGTTAACCTGTGCCCCTAGAGCACAGTATACAGGAGCCTCAATTGACTGATTCAAACGTGACAGCCCTGCCTGCGTGCGTCCCTTCGCCTTGTTAGGCACAAACCAATTGAACTGCCTATCAGCACCCTGCTCGTTTCTGATGAAGCCGCTTGCGTCCCCAAAACGCTGACTCGAAGGGTTTGACAACGTGGCTGGAGGATAGTTCCACTTCTTGAACGGCCAAGAACTTCCATCATCGCAAATAATATAAACGTAAGGCCGTGATTCTGGCCGGGAGTGAAACGAAAGTCCGTTGCTGGCTCTACTTCGAACTCGGTGCAAATTCTCTTGTAGAGGGGAAGTCCTATTTGCTGTTTGTCTGGCTGAACTTGGGTCCCCGGGAAAAGCTTTGGATGCCACCCATCTCGTAAAGAATTCTTTTTGTCGTGAAATAAACGCGGAACTGGAAAAAGCTCTTAGCTGAGAACTCAGCTGCGTTCCACTGTCCAACAAAATGTCCCGTGAAATACCACAGCCCGTGGTGGCACACCATAACGCAAAATTCAACTGCTCTTGCCAATTTTTCATGTTTGGCCCTCCCAGCCACGCCTTTGACTCTTTTCCTGTTGTGTGCTTTATTTTGGTGTTTTTGAAAATCTCTCTGAATTTTGTGGTAAAATACTCTGTCGGCGTGAGATATATTTTTTGCTCCTGACGAAACAACGCGCCAACACTTGCAACACTGTCTTTTCGCCAACCTCGTCAGGATTTTGCAGCCATCCCGTCCGGTCATGAATTCGACTTTTCCTGTTGCGTTATTTTTTTCGTATTTGGTCAAATTCCACTTCTGTTGCGAACTGACTTATGTCAGCTTTTGGGAAGCGTTTTTAAACTCTGAAAGAACCTTTTTTGGCTGCGAGGGCGGGTTTTTTAGCTTGTGGTGTCCACAGCCACTTTACAAAATCTATTTATATACCTATTTCAATAAAGGTTGCTTTGGGAATCGTGCTTTGGTCTTTGAAAGTAATAGCTTGGTGGTCACTCAAGCAAAGGGTTGCATTGTATTGTGTGTTTCAATGACCAAATCCAAAAGCAACCTCTATTGAAATAGGTGTATATTATATACACAGGATGGTTGTGCTAACGATCGTTGCACCTTCCAACGACCACACCGAACACCCGATAGAGAAACCAACCTATATCAGGCTTCTTTCCTGCTCTCTTTACAATTCTTGGTATAATCTGAAAACCCGGCAGGGACAGCTTCATTGACTGAAACTGGAGCCGGCAAAGATCCAAAATCTGGAAAATTGCAAGCAGGACATTTCCCTTTACATTTGTTTGGAAAAACAACTTAACGTTGTGTTCGAAATAAAGTTGGAAACCAGAGTAAATGCTGTGAAAAAAATCTTAAAGAAACTGATGTGCAGCTTATTTCATTTATTGCGATTTAATGAAAAAAAAGGACTGAAAATCTTTGGAACATGAAACTTTCAAAGTTCTCAATTCGTGGACACGCTTATGAAAAACTTGACTACATTGCTCCCCTACAACATTTGTTTCTTGACGTTGATCTTGGGGATAAACATTTGCATAGTTTGACACTTTCTGTCAGAGATGGGAATGGGGACTTGTTTCATTTCAACGGTTTCCCTTTGGAATTTGATTTGAAAATTGATTGACCATATATACAATGTCTTCATCGAACGTGATGCCAAGTGCACTGCCTGAACAACTCTATCCGGAGTTGCCGCCTGACAACTTTCGGTTGTCTCGAATCTGTAAAAATTCAGAAGGAAATTCCCGGCGAAATCGAAAACAACAGAAAAGAAAAGTCAAAATTAAAAAAAAAAGCTCCAATTGCCATGCATTATGTAGCCGTCGGTTTGGGCTCTCTCTAGGCCGCTCTTTCGGCCTCTGGCATTGCCTTGAGCCTTACGGATCCTGGAATCATTGCTGACGCACCCCTCGACGCGGTGGGTGCTTTTTGCGAGGCTGACAAGTCTGCAAGAAACTCAGCCTAAAAATAACAAGTGGAAAAATTCACTCATTGAAGGGAGAGTACAAATTTCGCCGGTGAAGAGCCTTTCCTCTCTTCGCGCACATTGTGTTTTTCTAGCAGCTTCGTCAAGTCTTTGCTCTAACGTTTTTTTTTTTGCGCTCCTTGATTAATCCTGGATTGTACAGGGATTAAAAGACAACGGCAAAATCGGTAAAGATTGGATCGTAGAGTAAGATGTCCTCAGCGAGACCCATTGTGTATGCATACATTTTGCCACTCTCTAATTGGCTGCACGCGTCGCGGTCAAAGCGAAAAATCTGTTCGCTGTGGCCGCATGGGCAAGACATCAATCAACCATAGACGTTTCTCGCGATGTTTTGTGTGATGTTTCTCTCGGACAACAGGGTGAGCCCGTTTCTGTGCGCGCAGAACGGCCGTTTCCATCGGTGGCCAGCGAAAAATTAGTTTCAACGCTGTTATAATTCAAGTAGTATATGGTGGATCAAAATGAACTCCACTTTCTCTGTTACAGTTATTGCTGTATTTTAGCTTTTCTGAGCTCATCTCAACAAAGTGAGCAGGGAACCAGGCTGTGCGCCCTATTTTTATCTAAGAAGTGCTTACAGACTTGCATCAATTACTACAATTCACGAATAGTCCAGCCTAGTTTCAAATTCAGCTTGTGAATCTCTCAAAGATATTGACAAGCATCAAAGACGTTAAGCGTTAGCTGAACGTCGTCACCATTTCTTGAAACAGATTCCCTTTCGTCAGACGTGATGATTCTTTCCTTCTACTCCTTACTGATGAGAAGAATGTCATTCCTCGTTTGGCCATTGATGGCTCATTTCTACCGTGGATTTGAAGCTCCAACATCCTTCCTGCTACCAGGGGAAGCTGGTCACACCGCGTTGTGTCATCGCATTAGACCCCTTTAAAGCTCTGGATTGACTCTCGCAGTCACCTTTTCTACTCGCTGAAAAACCTTCCTCTCAATCATGTTGAAGAGTCTACCTTTGATCTTTTGAAAGAAGTTGATGTTTCATTCGCTGCCAACATCACAAAGAGTTACTGTCAACTGACACTTTTTTCGAATTATCTCCTAATTTTGCCTCGAAATGTGTCCTCTGGCCGCTCCCCCTTCTACAAGTACATCGATCCCATGGCTTTGCTTCACTGTCCGACGTGAAAAGCCATCCTCGGCATTGCTTTGCTGTAGAATTCAGCCACGATAAAAAACCCGGACAACAAAAAAGGGTTGCCGAACTAGTTATAAGCTGTTACGTATTGTACCAAATTCATTATTTGTCACAGTTGACGTCCTAGTCTTCCCTATTCATTACAGGCTGACGATCTGTCTTACATCACTCTGGCTTCAAGACCCCCACCCCTGATTGGTACCCCGTGATTTTCCAGCTCCGTTCTACGTCCTTCTGTATCAAGCTGTTAAGAGTGTCACCGTATTCGCAGCTTAACAGATATCACGCATAACCCGTCTTGACGGTACAGCCCTGCTGCTAAGAGTATCGAGGCGAACTCGCTATTCCTTCTGTCAATTTAAACCTTCCCTAGTTGAAGCTCACACCCAGTCAAGGATGGAAATGATCTTATCTTGAATGCGGATGGTCCTTTCTTTGAGCTTCAGGACTCGGTTTCGCACCCTACATGTACTAACAATTTGGAAGGTTTCATCTATGAACCTCCCTTCTCATCTATCAGTTCTGGACCTCGCCATTCTAGCCGTCCGACACAAAGCCCGGCTTGTTCAAAGTGGTATCCCTGGGCAAATGAGGCGGGAGGCTAATTAAGCCGTCGCTTTACACGTACGTGACAAATAGCATGAGAAGACGTTCCTTCGTTGATATCGTTGGCCCCAAAGGAACGGCAAGCACGGCATCTGTGCGAGTATGCTTTCTCCCTTACTGATATTACCAATGAGGGTGTCAAGAAGCTATTACTTACTTTAACGTGGACGCAATAATGAACGTGGCATTGTATCTAATGAGGTCATCGTCATGATACCGTCCGTCACGAAGGAACGGGAACCCACGATACGAGATTTTTTTTAGCTATTAACCAGTGACCTTGATTTGGTCCTCATTACCACCCTTTTGACATCGCGTGTTACATGGCTTGCCAATCTAGTTCGTCGACATCTCTGGCTACAGGGGATCGAATTTACCGGCATTAAACCAATTGACGTGACGTCATCTTCATTTTTCACGATGACATACGAGACTCGCGGAAATATGACACTTTTCGAGGGAACAAGGCGTTCTCTTTGAAAAATCTGCTTGGAAAAGGGTTGACTCGAGAAATCAGCAAAGATAGAGGCCCCTAGTCATGGCTCCTGCAAAAATGTAGGCTTTGTGCAACCGTTGTCGAACTGATTTATTACATAATACTAAAACCAAACACTGATAAGGTCACTTACTGTAACACGCATATGCCGACCTTTACGTTGTCGCGGTTAATACCGGTGTCCGTTGAGCTAGATGACAGTCGGGGTTACCGGTAGTGTTAGTTTTAAGGGTACATAGCAAGAATATTTCAACCCGTTTTTGATCCTTAGATAAGTTTAATTAGCTATTTTGAACTTTTAATTAAATTTTTGGACCTTTGGCCGTACAAAAACTGCTTTTCCCCTTGAGGAGAAAAGCACCGAAGAGAAGCTGATGACGTTATATGACTTCGCTTCCGACTTTTGTCATTGCTCTTTGTTTCCGGGAATTAACGGATGTATTTGACTCTAACAAAGGTAACGACGTAAACGAAGATTCTGAAGGTGATCAGTATTTGCCGCCATCTTGTGGTGTGAAGCATATCATTCTAGGTCATACGTGTCAATTTGGCCGCGATAGGACGGACATTTCGTTTGGCAAATTCGCGTGTTTTCAAGATGAAAAAGTTATTTTTGCAAGACGCCAGACGAATTTTAATTTCGGATACACATTTTAAACAGACTGAAGAGAGAAAACGTTTTACTGGTCATACCCCGTTCTGACGACATAGACGATAATAACCATGTTTTGAGATGCCACATTAATGATGGAGACATGGAGACATGTCGCTGATGGCGAAGTCGACTGTATTCTCATTGTTTTGTTCTCGCTTGAAAGATGTAATGACAGTTTATTAGTCTGATCACTTTCGAAGAAAAATAATTCCTTAAACTGGACGCTGGGTTGGATGTGTGAACCTACAAGCTAAACAATGACGACAATCGTTACCTCTTGAGATATATTGCGTGGAGCCTTTCTCACTTAACATAATAGAAAGGTTGCTGGTTTGAGTTTTTCTCGCCTAAACAAATGTAGCTGTAAACTTGGTGTACTGTACTGAAACATGGCAAAAAAATGATGATAATGATTATGAAAGTCCTGCTGAATATGCTGTGGGGTAAATTTGACATTATCAGGTGGCTGGATGCTCTTTGTCAAAGAGCAAAACAGTTGATGTCATTGCCATCAGATATGTTCTTTGGTTATTTTAGGTACGCAAGTATTGCGTTTTGCATTTGAATACTGTACCTTAGCCCAAGTCAAACTTCAACATAAAACCAGTCAGCCTAAATGAGGTTAAACTATGGAATGGCCTGCCTAATGATAACAGGGCAAACAAAATCTAAATCTCCAATGGGTTCAAAAAAGTGATCCCCAATTTCTAAATTTTGCAACAGGACCGGAAACTGTAAGTAATATCAAACTGTAAATAATTCCGAGTTATGGGAAAAGTTAGCATAGGTTTTAGTCTGTTTCGTTCCAACTATTCACTCAGTTTGAGTTATAGCATTCACGACCAAATCAGCTACGCTATAAAAGTATCGTATTTAAATTAGTTGTTAATATCATTACTGTTATTTTTGCTGTTATTAGTTTTATTATTATCATTATTATTATCATAATCATTATTACTAAGCACAACAACGATGGAAGGTCACGCTCCAACGCTGTGCTTTGCAAAAGTTTCACGTGATAGATGGTCAACACAGGCGTGATTTGATGATTACGATTGATAGGTCCATATTCACCTACACATCATATTCACTCTACAACTCGCAAGGGCGGAATTAAAAAAAATACTTTATTAGCTAAATGGTAAAAATGATATGAATGTGAAATGAATCTTTTCAAAACGATAACTACACGGAAAATGATATTTTTGAAATGACAGTACAAAAATCCCCTTAATAAAAAAAGCTGGGGGGTATTTTTTTTTAATAACAAACAGAGCAAACACATTTAACAAGATTTGTAAAACACAGACAAGTCTGAAGACATGTGTTGTAGTTAGTTTTTATCTCGGTAATTTTTGCGTTTCTTTCGTTTTTGGGTATGGTAATGTATGCTAATGAAGTTGAACGAAAGGAAAAATAAAAATTACCTGAAATAATAAAAATAACTACAACACATATATCAAGATTGTAGAGAAGACAAAATATTGTACGTGTGGTTAAGGCTGTTTGCAAATGGCCTTCAACGCCTGCAAGGCACACACAAGAAAACAAAATTTTCAATCCTAATGCAGAAACAACGTCCCAAAGTGAAAAAATGCTGTTTTCAACACGGTTGCTCCTGGCATTAGTTTTCAAAATTCCTTTACCTTTTCATGACAAAACACAATCTTGATACAAAATATAAGGTACAGAAGTACACCGCTGCCTCCCCCTTAAGCCATTCTTTCCACTTTTCATCCTTTTTTCTCCTGTGAAATTTTAGAGTTTACCATCTCAAAAGGAAGGTTTCGCGTTGTGATGTTAATTTTCCCAGAAGCTTTAATTCGTTTTGACTTTTCTCCGATGTAGACTTTCATTTTTCCCAGGGCATTTTATCAACTTTGACAACCACGTTTTAACTTTACGAAATCCGGTTCATTCCTGTTTTCTCGTCCTTTGATCTTCCTTGTGATTCTAAACGGTAACGTATATCATTCCTTACCTTTTGTTACCCTGAGAAAGAGACTTGAATTTGTTTTAGTGTTTTTCGCGCCAACAGACAAATTTCCTTTCCGATCAGGCACCGTTTTCAAGCTGAAAATGTGTTACGTGTACACCACAATGAGCACTTAAAATGGCCTTGAACTTAACTATAACAAACATTACAATTATCGAATCGCCCGATGAGTTTATAAATCCAATATGAAATGTATTATTAACTACGTATATACAATTAAAACTAAAATTACGCGGAAACTGTTTAATGTGGTCTTGGCAACGACCCCAGATGCCACGTAAACTACTTTAAAATCCCAATGTTCAGTTGCTCGAAGAATGGTTAGCACTAATCCAGGGTTTAACACTTAAGCCACGACTTAGTTTACTCTTACGTGAATGTTGTATAATATCATTTTCGGTTCACGCAATTGTCTCGTGAAGTAACGCCGTCACTTACATACAGCTCGAGAAATGTTGTCGGAAAAAATATGCACGCGACAATCCCGAAAGGCAACATGGGATATGATCAATAACTGTTCCTGACCCTGCAGCTGTCGAACCTATATTTGTCGCTTTCCGTTAAAACTGGAAAACTACGTCTATGGCCTACCGTGTCATTCTTTCAAATTTCTTTGAAAAACAGTGAACTCAAAACCACCCAAAATGCCTTTCAGGATTGTCGCGTGAACTTTTTCCGGCAAACTTTCTCAAAATAGCTGTATTCTTAAAGGCGAAATGTGTTCAACACTTGCCTTAACCCCGGGTTAAAATTAACCGTCTTTCGAGCAACTTGAGCCACAGCTATAAGGACATAAAAGAGGATGGCTCACTGAATGGCCCAACTACTCCACCATGAGACAGTGCGCGAACACGGAACCGGAACATTTTTCCAGGTGCTAAGTTTTTAAGTGTACAACCCATAGGAAGTCGAAGAGCTTTGACTTTCGAAATTTTACGCCACTGCCCACCTCGGCTCCATGAATATAACTCAAAGTACTCTATCCCAGAAATTTTGTCATTGTCAGGTAAGTCCCACATTATCATAAGGTCGTTATCCACTGAACGTACAGCAATCCTAGGTACTGGTAAAGTTGAACCATCAATTAAATGCTGTTGTGAAGAATCAGATTTGACAGCATTTTCTTTTTCATTCTGATCATGGTTTTTGTTAGAAGAGACCAGTATTCCTGTAATGTCGATGCCATTTACAAGACTCTGTTTTGGCTCTTGTCTACTTTCTAAAGGTTGGTTTTTCATTTCATTAGGAAGTTTCTCTACAAGTAGAGAATTTACTTCTTTTATAGCTGAAGAGTCATGGCACCGATAATAAAAATGGTCTTGTTTGCTAATTCCTTTGGTTATCCCACTAAATTGTTGCTCATTTAAACCGTCACTGTTGTCTTCAGTTAAGCATTTACTAGAAGAAAGCACGGCGCTCTCTTCCATGCCGCTGTTTCCTTCAGTAGTTGTAAGTAATCCATTGTTGAGGGCCACATTATCCTCAGCAACAGAATCAATATTGCCTGCATTTTCAATAGGCTCTTGTGTCTTCTGAGAGTCTGCATTACTACTGTGCATGACACTAGTCTCCACTTCTTCCTCGTGACTGCATCCAGGCTTCCAGGTCTCTTCCAGTATTGCTACACTCTGAGAGGAACTGAGTTCATGTGTTGCATTCGTCTCTATCTCTTCAACAGCGTCAACATTTCTTGCATTTTGAGTAGTCTCTTGTGCCTTCTCAGTACCGACACCTCCAGTATGCTTGACACAAGTTTCCACCTCTTCATTGGTACCGCATCCAGACTGAGTGGATCTGAGTTCAGGTATTGAATCCATCTCCATTTCTTCAACAAAATTATCCTTTCCAACAGGATCAACATTGCCTGCATTTTGACTAGTCTCTTGTGTATTGACTCTTCTTGTGTGTTTGGCACCAGTTTCCATTTCCTCTTCCTGACTGCATCCAGTGTTCAAAGAATCTTGCATTCTCACTACATTCTGAGGGGAACTGAGATCAGGTATTACATCTGTCTCCATCCCTTCACTAGTTTTGTCTTCGCTTTCTACAGAATCCTTGGTAGCTACCAAACCGGGTGCAAGTTGAGAATCATTCTCTGCACAAGCGTCGACACAACCCACAGCCAGGTGTTTATCACTTACACCTTGATTAGCTCCTACATTCTCTTCTGCACTTTCACCCACTTTGTGTCTAGATTCTTCAGAATGTTCTTCTTCCACGCCACTGCATACAAAGCTACAGTCATTTTGTCTATGAGGGTCAACGCTATTCACCACGTGATTTTCGTCATCTGTTCCTCCCACACTCCGAACAACTTCCATATCTTTATTTGGAAAGGTGACATGAAACTCCTGTCCTGTCTCTGATGCAGGCCTCCTTTCTTCATAAATTTCAGCTTCGGCTACTTTAACCTTGTCAGTGTCAGTACTTCCCCCTTGCGTTTCTGCTACAGGCAACTCAATTTCTGCATCTATTATCCTATTTTCGTCGACAGTGCCTTCTTCTTCAGTCGTTAGAAGTTCAGGACCCTCCTCTCGGTTCCTCGCACTTTGTTGTATCTGTGTACTTTGAGGGCCAGGACTGCTGGTGTAGTCTGTCTCTCCTATTTCTGTTTGGTTGGGATTATCACTGATGACTTTGTCTGCACTCTCTATTTTCTGTAGAGAAGGATCACTGTCTTGCTCTTCACCTAGCGATTTTCTTCGAGTGGTCTCACTTTCCTCACAGTAATGTTGAGAAATATGTGATCGACGCTTTGCTGTGGGTGGTGGTGAAACAGGTATGATTGGAGACATGAGATTGACGTATAGGTCGTCTTTGATCTTCTCACTATCGTTCCTTGTTTTAACAGGGGATGATGGAACAACAAATACATTATCAGAATCACTGTCTTTCCTGTGCCTAACAAATCCATGGGGTATAACAGGAGACATAAGTTGTATGTAAATATCGTCTTTGTCTTTCTCAACGTCACTCTTTCTATTAGGAGGAGCTGATGGAGCAATAAACATACTATCTGAATTACTACTTCTCTGTCCTTCGACGCCTGCACCAGAAATTGGCACTACCTCATTAACTTCTTCAGAGGCCAAAGAAGCCCCAGTTTCCTTCCCTCTCTCATCGGCCAAAGATGTTATTTCCGAAATTGGTTGCCTCTCATCGGAGGAATTTACTCGACAATCAAGCTCCTCTTTATTGGTTTCCTTATTGTCATCTACAGAATCTACCTCCACTTTATCAGCTTTTGACTTCCCCGAAAAAACACCTTCACTTTCACAACCTGGTTGGTTCTCATTTTTGCCACTGGTGCCTGTTTCTGACGGCTGTGATTCTACTGGAGGAATACCATCGAATAAGTCCGAAACATAACTAGAACTAGTTTTGGGACTGGCATGATGTTTTGATAAAGTGCTGTTTTGATGGGCCAATAATCGCTGTACAGTATTTTCTAGGGCTCCACTAGGTGTTTTGGCAGGGTTCCTGTGACGATCTTTCTTACTTAACAAAGGATTGTTTTCTTGTCTGGCTTTCCTGCTTTCTGGTGCTACGTCACCTTCGATGTGCAAACCAGCAGAAGCACCAGAAGTTCTTGTATGTGCCTTATCCAACTTATGTCCCTGGCTGATGAGGGGATCTTCTGACCTAACACTTGATAACTCTTCCGCGGAGGTGACGTAATCAGCTGTCCGTTGAGTGGCAACAGCAGCGGGTACAGCGACTGTTACATTTGCTTTTTCAGTATTTTTCTCCTTTTGTTTTTTAGCAGTGACGTCGTCCAGGCTTTGTTGCAATTCACTATATACACGTCGGATCTCATCAAAGAGGCTTTGAGACTGTACGCTTGGTTGCACTCTCAAGTCATTTTCAGGTACCTGTGTATTCCTTTCTGCAGTTGCCTGGGTTAACCGTCTGACTGTAAAATTGTACGTGTTTGATGATTGAGCTTGAACTGATTGTTGCACTGGAAGCAATTGTGCAGCATGTTGGGTAGTCACTGTGGTCTGATTGACAGGGGCACTCAAGTTTCTTGCTTGACTTTGAGGCACTGGAACAGGATTTCTTGTGTTATGCAACAGCGGTACACTTACTGTCCTAGCCTGAGAAATAGACCGTTGAACCGGCTGAATCATTGATGCATTCAGATTTACTGATTGACAGGTTTGAGGTCTAGCTGAGTCTGCTTGAGCAAACATAAGTGTTTGTAATCCCAAAGGCTGCGAAACTGACTGTTGCATGGTTATCGCATGGACTGCCGATTGGTTTGATGACGCGTTTCCTTGCTGATAATGAGGTATAGGCCGTATGGTGTTTCTGAGAATCCGACCCTCTGAAATTCCTTGATTTTGAGGTTGAGAAACTAGCCTGGAAGAAAGTTGTTGAGAATTGCCATGTTGTAAGGCCATTGCGTTTGGCTGCGCAGAAATTCTAGTTGTCTGATTTCCTACAGCTGGAAGCTGAATTTGTGTTTGGTTTACTCTACGTTGCTCAATTTCTGTAATCACCCTTGACTGTACAGCACCCTGGGAATTTGCAACTTGCTGCAAAGAGCTGGTTCGATTGTTCTGTTGAGGAGCAGAATAGAGATGTCTACCACTAGCCTGCGCAAATCCATCAAACTGAGTTCTCTGATGGGATGTCTGAGCACGCTGCGCACTTGTTTGCACAGGATGTCCCAGAGAATGTCTTTGTTGGCTTGGATTATAAGCAGACGTATTATAAGCAGAGAGGAGGGCATTCAATGTGGGACGTGCAAGGCCTTGAGTGGTAACTGTCTGCCTTTCTAGTGATGGTAATACTTGGTAGCCTGTTGTGGTGGTTTGCTGCACTGAAGTAGCAACTGAAGCACGAGGCCGATTTCCAAAAACCTGGGCTGAAGAATGTCCTTGTTGCCTTGCTTGAAAAGATGAAGCTTGCTGGAATTGCAGTTCTGGCGGTAATGGGTAAAACTGACCAGTTGGAATGAATGCAGTGTGAAACACATTTGACGCTTGTGTGCTGGGTGAGAAATTTAGATGTTGCAGGGGTGCTGTGGCTTGAAGATTTGGCCTGGCCATTTCTTGTCTTTGTGACACATAGGACGATTGTGGAGCTGCTCGCGCTTGTGGCCGCGCCTCAACTGGCAGGACAAACTCCGTCTGACAAGCAATAGACACTAATATCTTGGGTGGTATAACTTCTTCATCGGTCTGGCTTAATGAAGACACCATCTTTGGATGTTCAACTTTCTCAAAGTTTGTTTGGCATCCAACAGAGGAAGAAAACAGTTGCAAATCATCTGGGGAGGGATCCCTTGTTCTCAAAGGTGAAGTTGCCCTATCAACTGCCCTTCCACGGTGGAGACTCTGCAAATAACAGAAAGTGTCGACTTAGGCACAAAGACTGTTTCCACCACACCCAAGGGGAAGGCCAATGGCAATGCCCAGTCTTACAGAATCATTATCTTTTCTCATCACAACAAACCAGAGGACATCAATTATTTACGTCTGCCAAGTGAAAAAGCAAATAACCTTCAAAACTAGAAACAACCATAAATGAGGAGTGCATCTGACAGGGGGGAATGATAGGGCAAATTTTAAAATTGAGAAAAAAAAAGAAACCACTTTTTTTTTTACTGATAGAACGCCTCCAAAAAAACTGTGCTGGGACAGAGAAAGTGGCATCGAAGCAGAAAGAAGTGTAATAAGAGAGGCAATTAAGACCTTGAAATAAAAGATAAAAACCATCCTGATAATTAAAGCTATGAATTTTCACTGACAGTAGTTCAGAATTAAAAAATTTTGGATGATAACCAAAACCATTTCCTGTCCATTAACTTACTATGTTCATATTTATCTGTGTTCCTCTGGAAACTGTTTTAGCGTTCACCTGAAACCAGATTTATTAATATTATGAGCTGGAGATGTGAACTGTGGGGTACTTTTATAACGGTATGGTGCCTAACTTTGACTTGAACAAAAACACGCCAAGACCAGAAAAACAGTGACACACGGACCATTCACATTTTTACAATGCAGATACATTTATCATTTTATTAGTAAAAAACGATAATTCAGTTTTGGTAATTGCCATGAATATTTGATATACACAATAACCATGCATTTCCATATGGGCAGCCTTATTCTAGAGTGAATAATAAAACAAGTTTCAGCAATAAAATAATCAGGTCACAAGACTGAAGACTGATGTTTCATTGTCAAATTTCAGGGACGTTTTGGGTGGTATTTGTGGATAGTTTACTAAATTGAGTGATAACTTTAATGTAAATAAGTATGATTCCTTTCAGATTAGATTAATATACTTAATGGGTTGAAAAAAAAACAAAAACAACAATAATAACAACGAAGATTATAATGATAAAGTTTAAATTTACTACCTTACTCCAACTGCAACTGTCAGACAGTGAAGAAAATATAAAAACCACAAGGTGTAGCACAAATGAGAGCCTGTTTATGTGAGGCGTAAGCCTGGTTAGCCAGGCTGGCTCAGCTTATGTGTTATTTTCTCATAAAAATCTGTTGCTTTCATGTAAGAAGGCAGGCTGCCCTGCTCAGTTGCTTGACGTAAGATCTTGGAAACCGGCACAGCCCACCTTCTCATATAAACATGAGACTTTTTGGAATGACATGGGACAATCCTTTCCGTTCCTTCGTGAAATACCTCAAAAGGAAATGAGTTCCTCCAAACATTTTACATTGTATAGGCTATTACTGCACTATCAACAACATTTCAGTGGTGTATTACCTTAGATGAATGGAGTAAGTCATTCACCATATCTTTCAGTTTTTCACACTCTGACACCAGCTTTTGATTAGTCGTTTCCATACTTATAATCCTTTCATCTAGTTCTATCCGCTTGTTTCTTTCTTCATTAAGGTCTGATAGCAAGGAGTTCACAACCTACAATTTCCATCATTGCAAAGCAGAACATTACTTGGCAACTACCAAAAACGTGTTATTCCCTTCAAGTGCGCCTGATTGACCCGTTCCTTTCCAGAGTGAATGATGAATCATGAACTGTAATGCATTAATCCTTCTTGGCATTACTTTAACCAGGTACAGTTGGTTGAGCAAAATATTTTCAGGGCTGTGCTCTAGCAGGGCCTGGTGGCCCCTGGCGGGTGATTACGAAATCTTACTTTTTTTCATTCAAATGATATGCTGGCCACCCTAGATTTTACAGGTTTAGAGCACTGGGCTCCCTTCAATTTTCCTTAGAGCACAGCCTTGATTGTTTTTTTTTTATTATCATTACAAGATTAAATAATAATAAAAAAAAACAATTACTTATGGCCAGCACTTAACTGTTGGAAGGTTTGGAAGTACAACGTCCAATGAGATTGGATAAAAGGCCTCTTGGACTCATAAAAAATCCTTTTTTTTTTCTAATCAGCTTTATAAACTAATGAAAAGCAAAGACCTAACAAACCTCCAGTGTACTGTATCCACTTGCATAATCAATTGAGTTATCTCCACTAGAACACCCAGAGTCTCCAGCAGCCTCATGATCGACTTTCATTTCACCACTTAATGGCACAGCTTCTTCACTTTCCGACACCACATTGTGACTGGGTAAATCAGAATTACCACTTGAAACATCTGTTGCTGCATCATTAACTGAAGATTTAGGCTGACTATCTTGTTCTGAAAGACTTGCAATAGTATTATACTTTGATGACTGTATTTGACCATGACACTGATTAACACCTGTAATTGTCTTTACAGTTGAGAAAACACCATCAGCTGCCAGACTGTTGCTGCCAGATTTAGTCTCATCTACCTGTAGGCAAGTCTTGGTAACAATCTCAGGGTAACAAGGTACAGTTATACATTGCTCATCCTGTGTAAGACCTGCTGAGTTGTCATCAGCTGCTATTGCGATTGGATTAAACAAGCAGGCCTTCACTGAGTCTGGGTTTTTTGGTGGCTTTAACTGATTTTCATTAGAATCAATTTTGGTAGTACATGTATTTTCATCACAAAATGTAGGGACTACTGCAAGGTCATTATCTGGGCTGAGCTCTGATCCATCAAGAAGGTTGGATAGCCTGTGTCGCACAGGGCTTTCCCTTACTATTTGGGAAGATGAGTCAAATACTTTATTGTGGTTGACGTTAGAGTTAGCCTCACTTTCCGTTTTCTGCTTGCTTTCTGCATTTTTCTCCTTGGTAGACAGGTTTTTTCTTTGTAACTTCTTTACCTGCTCCTCGGTAAGCTTTGAAAGTTGGATTACTAGCCTTGGCTTTTTCCCTGTGAACAGGAAGTCAAAATGGAAACATTTTATTAATTTTCAAGTAGTCTACCTTCCTACAGTTACAGCAATTTAAACCTGTTTCGCAGTTCTTTTGCATGGTGTTTTTTTTTTCAGCTTGTTATACATGAAATGTAGAACATTTCTTGAATTTTGGGTACTGTTTGGAGTGAAAACAATATTCAAAAATATTTTTTCTTTGACTTAAGGATAGCTATTACACACACTAGAGATAAACCTGTTTTTGGCAGAATGTTAGATCAAGAAGTGCTGTTGACACTTATTTCTAAATGAAGTGTTATACATTACCAGAGTTGTCATTAAAGGCCGGGAGCAAGGGGTTTCCCTGAGCTATTTCATAGGATAATAGAAGGAAAATAGAAAAAGGGATCCCTAGCAGTTTGATTCCCTGCCTACTTAACTTGAGGTATTTAGATGGCTCCTTAAAATCCTGGTGACAGCGCTGCATCACCAGATATAAGAATAAGTTAACACTTCTTAATGTGAAGCAAAATGAAAGCAAAGTTTTCCTTCATAAGTTAACACTTCTTAATGGGAAGCAAAATGAAAGCAAAGTTTTCCATCATAAGTTTACACTTCTTGATGGGAAGCAAAATGAAAGCAAAGTTTTCCATTACTGCTCTTTTCAATAACACACAAACTCTGAAATTTGATAAGCCATGAACTTTTGAACTCGTCAGAAGTAGAGTCCTGTTTCCTGAGAGGTTTGCTAAGATGATTGACAGCAGCTAAGAACATAAAAGTTAGTTGGCTTTTGTACTCCAGAGCTTGTGTTTTATTGAAAAGCACAATAAAGTCAACCATACATGGGTTGATATTTCTGTTCTTGTATAACATGTTATCATTAATTAAATCATTGAAATGCCCAGTGTCTCCTGATCTTACTGTATTTATTTGATTAGGTGCCCTGGGTACTTATTAAACTTTGGGCCTTGAGAGTGGGTGCTTGTAATTATGATAATATTTTGTTCTAATTATCTAACTGAGGGAGCCCATTCCTTATAAGCGCGGTGGCTTCTCTTGGGCTTCCTCGCTATGAGAGTTTAAATAATTAGATTTTATTTGATTTGTACAATTTATGGCAAACAAAACAATAAACAATAAACAATTATTAGATTTTCATTATTCTGAGCAAGTACTAAGTTAATTTTCTAGCAAAGCAGTGAATACTAACAAAACAAGAAGATGTGCCAGAGCAGAATTTTAACTGTTCATTGAAAGTGTTTTTAAAAAATTAAAATACTAACTCGGTCTTTGGGCAAGTTTCTTAGTAGCACTGCACTTAGTCAATTTCTATCTCATTGTCAGTAAGATCATTAAGTGAACTCTCTGATATTGCCTCATAGATGTCTCACAGCATAACGTCTGCAAATGGGTCACACGACGAGAAGCAGGTAGGACAGTAAAGAAATAACAACCAACTTTCCTTGTCCACTTCATATTTTTTGCTGTTGAAGTTGTTGTTGGGGGGCAGGATTGTGTGTGGGGGTGGGCACTGGTTAGGGGCTGGGCACTTGTCAAATTTTCCTCCCAACAGGATGGGTGCTTATTCAAGGTGGGCGCTAATTTGAGGTTGGGCGCTTAATCGAAGAAATACAGTATGTCAAAGTCTCCCTATGTTTTCAAGCATACATAGGGGAAATTGAAAGGAAAACTATGCATTATGATTTCTCCAACTAAGACGAGAATGAAAGCCAGAATCAAAAATTTCCTAGCAGTTAAATTCCCCACCGACTAATTGCATAAACACAATTTTTAAGTCTTCATGAGGAAATCTTTTGCCTGTCTAGAGATACATGTACTTTCAGCCATCACTTAGAAAGAACACTAGTGATGATGTCAAGAGTTCATAGAAACTATATCCAAAAATACTTGTGCAGCACTTTCAGAGCATTTAGTCACTGGCTGAAGTCTTGACAAGATTTATTGGAAGACAGTGAGAAATGTTTGTAGTAAGTCTAACAAGTATAACAATTCACTAAAAACAAGATTCATCTGTACTTCCACATTGTTATGTTACATTTTGCATTATTATTATCCTCTCAGTTTGGGGGCAGCTTATTGTAGATTATGGTACAGTCTGCTGACTGTTCAAAATGGGGGCTTAATAATGAATAGGGCTTAAAAGTAAGGGAGGGGGCTTGTAACAGAGATTATATATGGTATGTAACATCGCATTTAAGTTCAATGTAATATCTAAGGTAGCACTATCTTAGTCAACCGCCAAACAGGAGGTTACTGGTTTGATCCCCAAGCTGTGCCAATACCCAGGGACTCAAAATAACCAAGCAATGAAGGTACTGCCTTTGCTTTGCAAACAGCTAGAAGTTTGGAGGGCTTAGATGACCATGTAAAATGGCAGCCCCAACTTAAGTAGCAGAAATAAAAAAAGGTGTCCTTAATCAGTGGTTTGGTGCTAAATCTATTGAAAATAAAAGAACGTACTGTGTATTTTATTATATCTATATCTCTAAATAAGCATGTGGTAAACAGACCTCCAGAGGTAATTCCCTACATACAATGAGCTCTTAACACAAAACTATTTTTTTTGTGAAAGGACCCCCCTTTAAGATGAACACCTCCACTCTCAGCCCAGTCACAATGAGCCACCAGCTGGCTAGTTTGCCACTTCCTGCTGCATACTCAACAATTTTTAGGTTTAATGATGCTAGATAAAACCATAAACGTTTAGGCTTTAGTGCCTTCTACTCTAGTTATCCTGCCTACTATAGCAAAACATTTTCACTCAGATAGTACACTGTACATCTTAACCTCTTAAGCCCTAAGGGTGACCAGCATCAAATTTCTCCTTGTAATATCTTGAAATGCTTTGTAAAACAGAGTGGTCATGAGAATTACGGACACAATAAGACATGATGAATTTGTTTGATATTTTATCAACTTCTCCCCACTACTTCTACAGGAAATGAACAGGGGAACAAATGAGAACTCAAATGTTGATCTTAGGGTTTAAAGGGTTAAAGTCAGTGTGTACTTAGTTGCAGCCCAGAAAATCTTACCTTTCGGGACACTGGGAGGATCTTCCTGTGGTCTGTAACAAAAACAGTAATATGTTTTCTTAACACTATTGTCCTTGGATGTTAAAAATTACTTTTCTGCCTGATACAATAACATCACATCCCTGAGCACAAACTTTCCCTGGCTCCTTTCCCTACTTCCATCCATCTAAGAAAAGATCTGTTTGCTCCCTCACTTTAATCTGTTTTGATGCTGAGTGACCATTAAAATTTATTGGATAGTTCACTCACATGAGGAGGCATGGTGGGCCTGTGGTTTAACAACTTGAACTTCCGATCTGAAGATCTGGGTTCAGGCTTTGCTATTGGGTTGTTCCCTTAGACAAGAAACTTTGTTCTACCTTGTCTCTTTTCATCCATGCCCTAGTTGTTCAAAAGGTTGATAGCAGGTAACTGGTTGGGTCATACCCAAGTCTATTCGTACCCACATTTTAGTCAAGTTGTACTCATTTCAAGTCGACCCATAAACACAAAAACAAAAGAGTAAATACAACTCAATATGAATATTTGCTGTTGTTATGTAATGTTTGTAGATTAAGTTAACAATTAATGAATACAAATATGAAAGTATACTAAATCTTGTCTTGTTGACCTATTAGTCAACTCTAAGATGAACACCTTCAGGACCACTCCAGATTGTCCACCTTAGAGACGTGTCCAGGTTGTAGAGAGTTAAGGTAACATGACACCAGTAATTAAAAGAAAATAAAGCTGAACCTATTTGCAATGATTACAAATCTGTTTTACTTGTGCACAACAGTAATACCTGGAACACTGTAATAGAAAAGAGTTTTTGTTTCTCTCTACATGGTGCGTAGAAATGATAATAATGGTTTCAACATACAAGCTGTAGGAGACGTACTGTATTTGGCTATGTAATTTGCTTCCCCTAGCTGTAGTTTTCTGTCATGTGGAGCACCTAAATTTCCATTTTGAGGTATTATCTCATTATCGTACTACATAAAGCACTTCTAAAGTGTCTCTTGACAATTTCAAAAGTGTCGGTGTACATCTTTGAGAGAGTATAGTTACAGTAAAATGAATGGAAAACAGCTGTAGAGACTGACACCATGTGTCCATCTTAAAGAGGTGTCCGTCTTATAGAGGTGTCCATTAGGAGACAGTTGACTATACATAATTCATTGATTTTTAACGCCTTTTTACATAAAAATGAAAGGAAATAATAATAATAATAATAATAATAATAATAAGAAGAAGAACTACATTACATGAAATTCAAATGAAGCTAAAAAGAATCTCAAAGGTAAGGAAGTCTCAAGAAACCCCATGAAGGCTTATAGGTGAGATTTAATGACTCTGAGTACAAATCGACAGAAACAGGGTACAAATTGACTTGGATAGGAAAAGACCGTAAACCAGTCAGTGCTATCCCTTGTTTCAACAGCCTGGACCATTTCAATCAAAGATTTTAACAAAACAAACAACTGGGGGTAACAATGCAATGGACTACCATACCATCAAGGGGGAAACTGAATTAAGCTTTGGCTGCTGGGTTTCATGGTTAATGTGCCTCTTTACCTTTTGCCAAATAGTATTTACAGTGAAACCTGTATTAAGCGGACACCCCCGGGGAATGCTGTAGTGTCCACTTAATACAGGGTGTCCGCCTAATACAGGTTTCGATATATAACGTCATATGAGGTGTCAAATGCCATTCAAATGAACAGTGGAAGCGTTTATAATACTCCCAGAGACTATGACGATAGACGTTTACATTAACTTCGTTATCAAAGTGAACCAATTGATCATAGTACCATAAACATGGATTGCAACTCAAATTTGAAGAAATCAGATGAGTGAAACAAGCTCAGATACAAACAAAACGAAACAGAAAATAATCCTGTACTAACCAAATAAGTTCGTCAAGACACGCTTTTTAATGTAAAAATCGAAAAATTTGTGGGTGGCAATTCGAGGCAATCTTTCGCATTTCCGGTGTCTGGGATGTTGGGTGGTGGAATTTAATTACAAGTGTCTGTTTAATACAGGTTGGCAACAATAGAAATGGCCCTTTTTAGGTACTTTTTAGGTGTCCGCGTCTGCTTAATAGAGGTGTCCCCTTAATAAAGGTTTCATTTAAAGTAAATAAGGGAAACAAATTTGGGGACTTCGGCTACTGTCCGCTTAATAGAGGGTGTCCACTTAATACGGTGTCCGCTTAATATAGGTTTCACTGTATTAGTAAAATCCAACTAGTAGTCTATTATCAATGCTGCGTTCTGATTGGTTGAGCTTCGACTAGGCTATATGTTATAGCCCCCAAGTAACAAAAAGTGCATGCTTTTTGGCGGCGATAAAGGATTAAAGTCTAGCTTTAACTAGCTAAATTTTTTTATTCTCGCCCTCATGGCCTCTGAGTCAATAACCCACTCGGCCAGACTCAGAGCCCATTAGGGCTCGAGGAATAATTGTTAAATACCTTTTTTTTTATAATACAGTTGACTCCCAATAACTCAAACCCTCGATCACTCGAACTCCCAATAACTCAAACTTTTTTCTGTTTCCCTTGAAGGTTCGAATTATCAGGAGTCGACTGTATGCGCTTATCAGCCATCCCAGGTCATTGACCCCAGGGACATACATAGGCATGTTACAAGATATGTTGACATCTGCTACTAATTTTTACCCCAAGAAAAGGAATTGAATTGCCCTGCAGAATTTGTAAAGCACCTGACAGAGAAGAAATATATTCAATAAATTCTACAATATCAGCCCTTTCCCACTCTAAAACTTAGTTAATACAAAGTAACCTGAATTTCATCTCTTAATTTACTTTTTTAATTATCAACCCTTATATTACTACTCTTTTAAAGAACTAATTTAATTAAACAAGAATAAAATTTTATTTCAATTTGGACGTCCCTTGATATACTTCATTTTGTAACGTAACGCTTCATTTGAACCAACTGCTGTGTAAGGTTAGAGGGGAAGTGGCAGCTCTTTGATAGAGAAATACAATTCTTGGGTGGGGGAGATTTGTGAACATCATTGCACAAATTCCCGCACATTCCCCGGGATCAACCCCTGCAGGATGGCCGCTGATAAGAGCATAAATCATCAGAATGCCTTTTTTATTTGCTGGTACTGCAAATACATGTACATTGTAAATGACTGATTCTTTTTCACATGCAACTCAAAAATCCTTTTACTTACTTTCTCTTTTTCTCCATCATCCAATACAAATACTGTTAAACATAATTCAGAACAAAATGTCAGTATACTTTCTTTTGCTTTTGGAGACATCAACATTGACAGGGGACTTTAGAACACAACAGGTACACCACAAGGTCTCTGGGATGGGACGGTTTTATGGTCATTTCGCCCCCAAGCCATTTGGCCTCAGTGGCCTCAGTTATTGATTGACTGAAGCGAACACAAATGTTCTTTCATAAAAAAAGGAACACAACTCAATCACAAAATATGATATTACACAAAGGAAGCGCTGGTAGTTAATAAGCCTTGTAGGCTGATTTTGTCAAGCGGGCTAAGTGCCTCACAGATTGGGCTAAATGACTCTGACTTTGAGGGCTAAATGAATCAAAAAGAGGCGCTAAGTAACGGGGCAAAATGACCAGTTACCAATTGGAGCATTATAAACAAAGGCACAGAAGTAAAGAAGACATAAGCAATGATTTAGCATAAAAAATGCTAGTAAGTCACTGCATTTTAGTATTTTACAAGGGTAAACACTGATTGGATGTCTCACATTTAAGTTTATTTGGTAATAATAGAAGTAATTGCACAAAGATTCACATAGGAATGCTTTTCGCCCCAAATCTCTTTGCTTCGGTTAATTGGCCCCCTATTTTCAAATCATTCAGAGTGATTTACTTGAACCGTGACACAGATATGTAAACTCAAATAGTGCAAAATAGCTATAGCAAGAGGTAAACAAAAAAGGCAATGGAATTGGTGCATAGTAGTGCGTACTTTCACGGGTTAAGTAAATCACTCTAAGCTTAATGTCATAAACCTCTGTTCTTTAAGTAAGTAATCATGTGCCCTGTAACACAACAAATCAAATATAACACAACAAATATAACACATTGCACGTACATATACTGTACGTGCAATGTATGTGTTACCTTCATACAACTAAGCCCCTGTTGAAATCGTGCAACAAAAGCAAACTGCAGACTAGGTAAACTGAGTAAAAGATGTTGCGGACTGCTCTGAAAACTATCACATCCCCTGGAATTTTAGTCTTCTTTAAGATTATGAGCTTAAGCTTACATTTTCTGCTTTACAAAGGACTTGCGTAATATTGCTTTGATTCAGTTTTAATTCTTATAGGAGACTCTTAAAAGATTTAAGTTTCCTGAATTGCAGAATTTCTCGAAATGCTTCATCGCAAAAGGTTTGCCAACCAAAAACGCGAAAACGTTCATCGATCCAACTTTGATAAGCTTACATTTGCCTTGAAGCACGCCAAGCTTAACTTAAATAATCGCGCGAATGGTAGATGTTAAACTTCATTAGCACAGTGAGGACACTCTCCCATTTATTGAGCAACTTCACGTCACAAATTGCAAAATCGTTTTAAATTAATATACTTTAAACTCACCTGTATCGTGCCATTTTCTTGACTTTTTATGAAAACGTACGCGCTTTTCTATTGCAAATAAATCCTTCGCCTTGACTAAACACGTGACATGCTACCCGTGACATCGTCGAACCAATAAACACCCACCCGTTATCATGCTTAAGAACCGGCATGAAACGACATGTGATGTAAAATTTACCGATCAGTCAAAAAAAATGGAAATTGATGTTGTTGTCAAGAATGAGAATATCATCGGAAGTTTATACTGGTCGTGCATCAAGCTACCGGAACAAATTACAAAAGCGCAATACCGCAGAGGAAACATTATGCTAAATTTTGCCCTTCTGAAACTGCACTTAATCTTCATCAGGACTGATTTCCATGATCAGAGAGTTAACCGGTGAACTGCAGTCCACCAGCTATTTTAATTTCTCGAAAATGTGGTTCGGCTGCAACCGAAAAATGGATTTCAAAACACTTGTTTAGCGCGTGACTCTCTTTCAATGTCACGATCTGACAAGCTACCACAAAGGAATGCCCCAGGTGAGGCAGTATGACAGCTATTGAGGAAACATAATCCACTTATTAAACATGATGGACATTCGCCAACCTCGAAAAAGCATTCGTGACTCTAACCGCACAGACGTATGAAAAGCGCGATAAGATTAAGCTGCCACCAGATGCTAGAGATGAATAAACACCGTAATAACAACATACCATGCATGTATAATGAAAGTAACTATATGTACTTACGATTGCCGATTACATTGGTTTCTAACCGAGCAACTACCGTTCGAAAGGTAATTATCGCCTACCGTTCTACGTCTCCGCACAAAGAGGTTTCATTTATAAAAAATTCGGAAAATGAACTCTTTGTTTGACTTTTTGTTGTCGCAGCTGCTGCTAGTTATATGTTTATATTGAAGCCTTAATAAAGCGGCAGGATTAAAGTAGATTATTCTTAAGACACGTATTGGACACTGGGCACCATATAGGAAAGGTTTTTGCGGTATATATGGTTGATAGGTGTTCTTTAGATTTGCTATAATTACAGTGCGTAGTACCTTGCGACGAAATAATCACAGGGTCCGGTCGTGTGTCTAGAATATCCAGAAACGCATGCTCGACAGTCATTGAGTACAATGAGAACCAAGCGATTTATCAGCTGTGTTTATTATTAAGTTATACTCCATGACCTTGGACTTGCTTTTTTATAACGAATAGTTTTAAATAGTAAGACTTTAAAACGAAGTCGAATAGGTTATGTTAATTCATAATTGAATGTCTGAGTGGTTTATGCCGGCTTCGTTTGAAGTTCTTCGTTTGAAGTGACCGCAGGATATGAATTTGCATGAGAATGACCCCCAAGTGATATTATGGTTAGTTTTGACAGATGTTTGCCATCTGTTTCCTTGGGATCAATCAACTTACTGATATTCACAGGCGAGATTAGCCAATGGTTGTTCGACCGTAGAGAAACATGCTACAAGAAACGTGAGTTCATTATCACCTAAAAAGCTTTCAACAGTCATTATTGGCCCTTGAATATCGGCTTCCGCACACATTTGGCGTTTTTAAGTAACAAGTTGAAAAACGATTAAAAAAGCTTATAAACCTTAAAACATTAAAACATCAGGCAGCTATTTGAGGTTGCCATTGGTTGTCGGCATGGTAAACTGACTGGTAGTAAAACACGCGACAACGTTGTGACATCGTAACCGCATTCTCTTTTAATCGTCACCTCACTTCAAACTTTCAAAGAGACGAAAAAAATACAGTCGGTGTACAATTTAAATTATCTGAAGAGGCTTATGTCAAATCCAACGGAAACATTCCTTCGTCTAGAATTTTGTGAATGAAATGCTTTTCCTCTAGATCTAATAAGGAATTGGAATGTCTGCGTTAGCTATGCCGGATTCGTTTGAAGTGACCACAGGAAATTAATTTGCGTGGAAAGAGAATAACCTCTCAGAGATTTTATTGTTAGTCTTGACAGGTGTTTGTTATCTTTTTCCGTTGGGATCAATCAACTTTATAATACTGATATTCTCAGGCGCCAATGGTTGGTCAACCTCAAAGAAACACGCGTTGACTTCATTAACACCTGAAAAGCTTTCATAGATTAGAACGCCCTTAAAGTTTTGGAGCTCTTTCATCCATTCTATACGTCCTTCCTAGTCGGCGGATGGTTACCCTAAATAAACATACTACAAGATTTGTTTTTAATAGCTACAGCTCTGAAAAAAGTATAAGACAACAGTCAGTACCTTTATGGTATTTCCTTATGCCACCAAAGATCCAAAGGGCATTAATAGTCGAGCTTGCTTTAGCAGAGAGAGGTTCAAAGCGGAGATGGTGTAAACTGGGGCTAAGAATCGTGACGACTTTCATTGTATGCAAATGACTCTTATGATGACCATGCGGTCTATTTTAGACGATGACTGAAATGACGCTCAAAGTGGATCACGTCTTGGCTGTTTGGCAATGATGTAATTTTTCCCGAATCGAGGCCCTTGATTTTCGTGTAATTATACAGCCTGAAGAATACTCGATCGTCGATAAAGTAGGATGTGACAAAATATTATAGCCAGGAAATCCTGTTTTGTGGTGTATTGAGGCATTACGTTTCTCAGAATAATGACGTACTTACTGGAACTTTACGGTTAAATAGATTCGATTTTGCAGATTCACTTTGTTGTATGTACTTAATTGATAGATTTTCGCGGTTGTTAAGATGTGAAGACGCGTTGCACTTTATAAATACTTGAGATATTAATAATTTAACCTTCAACTATTACTGGAAGCAACTTCAACTATCTGTCTGACGTTACGTATGTGTCACGGATGTCTGACCTGTCTGTTTATACGGATAGCTTTGTACTTGACTGTCACGCACTCTACCTGCAGCACTTCATGTCCAGAGAATAGAAAGTTGCGAAGGATGTCGAGCTTTTCCGGAGCGGGTCGGTCCACGAATTCTGTCGCTTGAAAGCATTGATTACTTTGGAACAAATGATTACTTCAATGGTCGAAAAAAGAACAATCTTAATGACAAAACTTCGATGGTGAGGCTAACTGGTAGGGTGTTGCAAAGGAGTCTTGCGATGGGCATGCGGCTTATTTTCGGCGCTGATTGACTTGACGCACCATGTTCACCACGTTTCCTTGATTTTCGTCCATTTAAACACGCGTTCTAATCAATTCAGAAACAAATCGTCGAAGACGATATAACAAGTAAATATCCGGAAGAGTACTCGACCGTCGATAAAGTAGGAATTGAAAACCCTTTAGCGAGGAAATGATTTCTGATCATCAGTTGTGGAGACTACTCCTCCGAAATGAGGAAGAATACCTTGTCTTATCCAGTGAAAGCGGACAATGAAACTACTACGTTTCGCGCGTTCATCGGAGTCCTGCATGTCATTTTAACCCCTAATTGAAAGATTAGACTTTTTCCGAGCTGAAAGAGCTTTTGATCTCCCAACCTATTTTGATATCTTGATAGCCAAACGTTACAAGTTTCATCATCGTGACTAGCTTGAGTTCAAAACGGTCGCTCAGTCTAAGGTTGAGTTGGAGCGACTGGCGTTGAACCGTGATTTTGGAACTTGTTTTGGAAGAAGCGTTTCG